CTGCTCAGCGGCTTCCTGGCTGGGGGACCATGGGGCACGCTGGCATCGGGATTGTGCAAGGGGCCTTCTTCAAGCTTGGGTAAAATGCACGGGACAGAAGCTATGCACGGACTTCAGAAACATAAAGTTACCCTTTACTTCCGTTTTCCATGAACGTGCTGCTGCCAGGGCTGGGCGGAGAGCTGGGTGCGATGCCTGGGCGCGGTCTCCCTCGTGCGCGTGCGCAGCACTTGTCCTCCGCGCGTTGGGTTAGTTCGGTCTCCCGGGCAGCGCCGCCGGCGTTGCTGTGCGGTGGTGAGCGCGCTGTGTGTTCTCACTCTGCAGATGGGCAGCCAAGCGCTTCTCCGGGGTTTACGTGATCATCGGAGGGTTGCCCCGGAGACCCCCCAACATTCCCTGTTCTCTGGGTTTCATCACCACACGAACGTGGGGTACACTAGGGCCAGGCCACACTTTATTTAGCCTTGGCCCTGGTACAGCTCCTGGTTCACATGTCCTCTTGCAGTTTGCACCAGAGACGTGTCCTGGAGGTCTCCCTGGAGGTGGGAATCCCCATGGACTGGTTTCAAGCATGGCTCTGTTAGCCTCGTTGATATAGGAAGATCCTGGAATCCAACGTCGGTGCATCTAAAGAACACCTTTCAGGTGCAACCACAGTACCACCAAGGCCCCTGTTTAGTCCTAGACTTCATATTTAGTCACTGTAGAGGGTGGTCCCAGGGCACCAGGCAAGTCCCAAAGCTAAGGGCAGTGTAGTCTCCCAGCCATCTGGGGAGTGAAACAGTGGATGGAAGACCTCTCTCTCTCTCCCTCTGCCTCTGCCCCTCGGTTACTGTGCCTTTCAAATAAAATAAATAAATCTTTAAAAAAAGGAAATAATGGTTGTACAATTACCAGCCCCAGAGTGCATGCATGAGTGCACATATGGGTATGTATGTGTGCATTTGCGTGCACATGCATGTATGTATCTATGCATGTGTGCTTTAATGCATGTGCACCTGTGTGTACACACGTGTGTACATATATGTACAGCACACATGCACACGTGGACTTGTGTGTCATGTGTATGTATGTGTGTTATGTGTACGAGCATGTGTGCACGTTTGTGTGGGTGTTATGTGTGTACTGTCTGTGTGCACACGTGTGTGCATGTGTGTGCAGGTTTATTTTTTATTTAAAAGTCAGGTTTACACAGAGAGAGGAGAGGCTGAGAGAGAGAGAGAGGTCTTCCATCCACTGTTTCACTCCCCAGTTGGCTGTAATGGCTGGAACTGGGCCAATCTGAAGCCCGAAGCCAGGAGCTTCTTCCAGGTCTCCCACATGGGTGAGGGGCCAAGGACTTGGGCCATCTTCTACTGCTTTCCCAGGACACAGCAGAGAGCTGAATTGGAAGAGGAGCAGCCGGGACTTGAACTGGTGCCCATATGGGATACTGACGCTGCAGATGGTGGCTTTACCCGTATGTCACAGTGCTGCCCCAGAATGGAAATCTTAAAGCCTCATTTTACTAATGAGCTGAACAGCAAATCCTGGGCGTGCTGAGTGTGTGTCAGGCCCCTTGCCAACACTGCGTGTACTTTCTCTTGTTCAATCCCACAATCCTTGACATGGTTGCCACTGTCCTCTCCCTGTCACGGTAAAAGAGAGAAGCTCTGAGCCATCCAGCAACTGCGCACTTCGGCTCCTGGAATGCACACCGTGCGATCTGCCTGCACCACGGGAACCGGGGACGCCCGGGAACAGTTCCTAGGAAGCAGCGAGACAAGCAGGTTTGGACAGCGGGGCTTGGGGCTGCCGGACTCCCTGGGACAGGCGCGGGGGCAGGCGCTCAGCACCTGCTGCTCCAGGCCTTGAGGGGGAGGGCGGGGAGGGCCGCAGATGAACCTGGCACTCGGTATCCCCTGGAGCCACGCTGCCCTCTCCTCTTCAACTCCCTAGGCCCTTGCTGCTCACGCTCTCTCTCACACACACACACACATGTGTACACACACACACTCAATACACACACTCACACATATTCACACAAACATGCACACTCACACATGTGCGTGCACACACACCCACAAACACACACACAATGCATGTATGCACACACAGGCACACACTCACACAAACATGCATACACACCCATGCATGCACACACACACATAAGCACACATGTGTGTATGCATGCATGCACACACATGCATGCACACACTCACACTCACATACACCTACATGCACACACGCTCACATATGCACACACACAGACACTGCCGGGTGCGTCACTGTCAGTCACCTCCTGCACAACCACTCAACCAGGAAGTTCTAGCTGTGCTCACCTGGTCTGTGGTCAGCGGCGGCTCAGCTGGGGCCTCTGGCCTCACTCAGTTTGGACAGCGGCCTGGCGTCTGCCACGGCAATGGCTACCACCGAGCTGTGTGGCTGTATCTCTCAGCCAGTGTGGACTCATTCACACCGCAGATGGCGGGATCCTGACACAGCTCAACCTGAGACCTCTCCTCTGAACCCTCCTTTCAAGAAGATGTGTTTATCTATTTAGCTGTAAGCCCGAGTACAGGGGGGGCGGGGAGAGGACTTCCATCAGCTGGTTCGCTCCCCAAATGGCCACAGAAGTTGGGGCTGGGTCAGGCCAGAGTCAGGAGCCAGGATCTCCATCCGGGTCGCCCCCATGGGCAGCAAGGACTCAAGCCCTTGGGCCATCTTCTGCAGCTTCCCAGGTGCTTCAGCAGGGAGCTGGCTCACAAGTAGGCTCTGGCCCGAACCCTGCTTTGATCCACGTGGCTCCTTGGGGTGCCCGGATGCCCTGGGCAGGCTGACCTCTGGCTTTGTGGGACTTCCTTTCTTTTTCTTTTTTTTTTTTTTTTGACAGGCAGAGTGGACGTGAGAGAGAGAGAGAGACAGAGAGAAAGGTCTTCCTTTTGCCGTTGGTTCACCCTCCAATGGCCACTGCAGCTGGCGCGCTGCGGCCAGTGCACCGCGCTGATCCGATGGCAGGAACCAGGTACTTCTCCTGGTCTCCCATGGGGTGCAGGGCCCAAGCACTTGGGCCATCCTCCACTGCACTACTGGGCCACAGCAGAGAGCTGGCCTGGAAGAGGGGCAACCGGGACAGAATCCGGCGCCCCGACCGGGACTAGAACCCGGTGTGCCGGCGCCGCAAGGCGGAGGATTAGCCTAGTGAGCCGTGGCGCCGGCCGGGACTTCCTTTCCACACCCACTTGCTGCCAGCTGCACAGACCCCTCCCAGGTCGCCAGGTTTAGCAGGGAAAAATATGACACTCTGTTAACTTGAACATGAGACACACAACAGATGTTTTTAGTGTAACACCAATATTGCGTGGGATGTACTTACACTGAACGATTATTTGTTGTCAATCTAAAATTCAAGTTTACCTGGGAGCCCTGTCTTTCCCCTGGCACCTGTAGGCCACGGACTGTTTCTAGCGTGCATCAGTGGCCCTTGTCACCAGCAGGGGCAGGGCCAGCCCCGCAGGCTGGGCAGTGGCCGTGGGGCCCACATCTTTTCCTCTCACTGCCTCTCTCTACCGAAAGGCTTGTGCTGAGTCCTGGGGCTGAGCCTTCCCGGGAGCGGGGCACCTGGGCACTTCCCTCAAACAGAGTTCACCCTACCACAGAGGCATCATCACTTAACCCTGTAGTGGCCGGAACCTTTCATAGACGTTCCCGATCGGAGGCTCATGAGCTGCTCGTAGGGGACCCTTCTGTCTGTGGGAGCAGAGCCCCCGGGCTCTTCTCGCGGGCTCTCGCTCCTCATCCGTGCTTCACACTGTTCCAGTGGCTCAGTCACTTCCTGCCACCCCCATGTAAGTACAGGGGGAGTCGGTGCTGCCAGAGCCATGGAGGCAGGCTGGATCCCCTCTTCCCTACCTCCAGGGAGCGTGCTTGCTTCTGTACAGGGGCTGTGGCAAACACAACCCTTTCACTGCTTGCTGGCACATCTCCGTCTCACACCTTGTCCATCCCCCACCTGCCACTGGCTTCCTATTGTAGATCACCTGAGCGGTAGGATCCAAGATTTGGGTTGGGGTCTCAGGGATATGTCAGATGACCAAGGTTTTGTGAATGACCTTGGCTCAAGGTCACGGCCACCTGCATACCAAACCTTGGCCTCCTGCTGTTCTTTGGTGCCTTGCTCATACCTCACCCCTGGGAACTGGGAGAGGCAGGGCTGTGAATCCACGTGGGACAGGTGTCTCCAGCTCCCTGCCCTCCTGCAATCTTTGGAGCAGACTGCTATTTAACACCTCCGTGAATAAAGACCAAGCAAAACCCCTTCTCTCTGCTGCGGGGAGAGCCAGAGCGTATCGGCCCAGGGCATCTCACACAATGGCCAGCTCAGAAGGCCTTGGCGTGCCCATGGCATGCACCTGGGCCAAGGTCCCTTCTGCCTCTCCCACTAGTTTCAGAGGGACTTCAGATGGAGGGGCCCACTTGGAGGAGCTGCTGACCCCCTGCAAAGACTGCCTGGCCCAGTGGGGTCTGCCTTCCAAATTCACAGGGCTGCCCATGCTTCTGCCCGTGCCAGTCACCCTCCGTCTCCCTCTGTTTGAGGTCGCCCTGGGCTCCAATGCTCTCTTCCTGCCAATCTCCCTCGTGCCGGCCCATCCTGGTACCCGCCCTCTTCGTGGGGCGTGGTCTGCAGCCCTGGCTCCAGGCCCCGCCTCATCTCTAGGAGCTCTAGCCCCTGACGTCTGGGCCATGTCACCTCAGGACAGCCTCCCTGGGCTGCCGCTCCAGAGCAGCCACTGCACCGGTGTTCTCTGTGCTATTTGCGGGGCCTCTTACCCAAGGGACGCTCAGCAAACGTCTGCTGTAGTGGTGGCCGTGGTGGGCGTCTCCCAGGAGGCCATAACACAAGGGCTGCTGTTGTCTCTCCCTCTGCCAGCCAGCTGATGTCAGACGTGAGATGATTACAGCGTGCGTGCCTGTCCGGCCCTGGACGCTGGCCCCTCCCTTGGAAACACCACTCCCCGGCGTGCACAGAGCCCAAGGCCAGCTTTATTAGACTCCCTGCACTGGTGCAGCCCCGCGCCGCAGGCTGGCGCTGGCCTTCCATTTGGCAGGGGGAGAGATAAGCGAGTCAGCCCCTGGCCTCCCACCCCGGTCACCCTGCAGCCGGGTTGACGATCTTGCCCAGGAGCAGCAAGCTCTGTGTGGTGGTCTCCCAGAGGAGCAGCAGGAAGGGCCTGTTGAAATGCGAAGCCGGTGTCCCTGCTGCACTGAGGGCTGGGGGCTGGGAGAGGACGCCCGAGGCAGCCCCTGCCTCGGTGCCCTTCTCATTCATGTCCACCACCGCCTTGTGCGACACCTGGAAGCAGAGAGAAGAGGGACAGAGCCAGCATCAGTTCAGGGGACTGCAAGGGGCAGCTGCTGCCTTCTGCAGCACCAGAGAGGTGGAGACAGCGCCCCCTGGTGGGCCCCTGCAGCCCCGCCTGCCTCCTCCAGCCCCTTCTCTCCAAATTTCCCTCCTCCAGGTCCCCAGGGCTCGCCCTGACTGTGCCCATCACTCCAACGGGAGGCAAAGGGCCTGAGCAGAGCTGCCTGGGTGTGCCCCGGGCTGCAGAGGCCAGCGGCAGGTTCTACAAGCACTGCTCAAGCCCGGCTCACGTGGCACAGGCCAGGCTACCCCCTTCTGCTAGGAGCTGCACCTAGCGCCCCTGCATGTCAGGTCCTTGTCTTGCTCAGACCAAGTCACGGGCCCAGGCGAGCTCAGTGGAGCCAGGATGTCCGATGGGCTCAGCCCCCATCGCCTCCAGGCGAGGGACTCCTCCCTGGCCCCATCTCCCTTAAAAAATTCATAGATGTATTTGAGAGACAGAGATGCATATAAAGAGAGGGGGACAGAGAAAGCTGCCACCCACTGGTTCACTGTCCAGATGCCCACAAAAGCCGGGGCCAAGCTAAACCCAGGTGCCCAGGGCTCCATCTGACTTCCCCTCGAGCTGGCACCTGCTGCCTTCCGGGGTGTGCGTGAGCAGGGAGCTGGAATTGGCGGCAGAGGCAGGATCTGCATCCGGCGCTCTGATATGGGCTGGGGCGTCCCAGGCCACACGAGGCGCAGCAGTGACGCCTGCCCTGCTCCCTGCTCCCCTTTCTAGAACCGACCTTCGTGCAGTGCCCGGGAAGAAAGGACGCAGAAGCGGGATGGACATTGACCCTGCTGGCTCTCACTTCTGAGAAGGTAAACCCAGCAGTGGAAGTCGTCGTGAAAGGAATCCCTTCAAAAGCTAAACTACTTCTTTCATCAAGCATCCCAACGTATGCACACACACAGACAAGCACACGTGACCACACCGGTGCAGACACGCACACACACGCATGCACATGTGGACACACACACTTACGCATCACACACACACACACACACACGATCATCTCCCTATCATCAAGCCCTTGACTGTCTTTCCCAAATAAATGACAAAACACCTCTCTTAGGAAGCCCCTAACCGTGGCTCAAATGGGAACGTCGAACACCACCCTGAACCCCAAAGGGCAAGCAAACCTCGGGGCGAGGCCTTTGCTGCCTCTCGCTTGGAGACTGCATCACTCTTCCCAAACAGTCACTCTCCCCTCCCTTCAAGCCTTGCCCATTCCCCCACAGGACCGCGGGGGTGGGGGGACGCAGCCCCTCCTTGGTGACAGGGTCTTGATTAGGGGACCAGGGTTGGCCAATGACACGTGAATAGCCATGGCGTAGGTCCCAGGTGGGGAGAATGCTAGCAGCCCTAGCACATGTTTCCTTGTTTCCCCTGCCGTGGGAAGGGTGTGTCCCAAGTGGGGCCTCTCCTTTATCCCCTGTGAGAAGCAGATCTGTGGCCTAGGGCACTGCCTCGCCTCTGTCCTGGAAGAGGAACCGTGGAGAAGCAGTGAGCTATGGGGACTGCGCGGCTTGCTCACGCTCCACTGCCCTTGACAGTACAACAGTGGCAGGTGCAGCTACACAGCTGCCCTGGAGGCAGCACCAGGGATCAGACAAAGCCCTCCCTCCCCTGGGGAAATGCTCGCTCCATGGGTGTTTCCCAAGTGGACAGAATCCCCTATTCCTGCCCTGTAGGATGTGGAGGTCCAAAAGAAGGGGAGATGGACAGGGAGCCGTGCACGAAAAGTAAGCCTAGAAAGAGATGGCATGAAGGAAGCAACATGGGAAAGAGAACGGGGCACTTGACTCTCACACTCCTGTGTGGGAAGAGAAGGACCTGGTGCCCCAGCCGCACCATCCGCGTTCACCTCCTTACCCTGGAGAAGGTCGTGTTGAGCTGCCCCGTGATGCCCGACAAGTCAGCTTCCAGACCGAAGACGTTGGTGAGACCGATTTTGGGAAGGATCTCTTCCAGGTTATATGTTCCAGAAATTGAAAACCGTGGCAAATGCAAATCCAACAGACTGGAGATGGGGTGAGACAGAGACACTTCATTAAGTCTGCTCTGGGGGAGGGTCGTCTCCTGGCCTGAGGGCTGATTGGTGGTCTTCCCATGCCACTACCTGCACAGCAGGGCACCCCACTCCCCGGGCCCAGAGCGCCCTTCTCTCCGCACTCAGGGGAGGTCTGGCACACCTCTGTGTCTTCAGCGTCTTCATTGCTTTTATGCGGGGCTTTTGGGTGTCACGCACTGGCTGGACTGATCGAATCCCATAATGAGCATCAGCCGTAAATACTGCTACTGTGTTCCCATTTCCCTGCTTGGTTCACTGGCTCCACCTCTGAGCTGCATCCCGAGCCCATCTACTGGCAACCCTAGGACAAGCCACCATCGCCTCCCGCCTGCCGGAGCAAAGTGGTACAGCAAAGTGGTACGGGGTGGCCACTGCAGAGCTGTAGAGCCAGAGTGTCTGATGGGCTCAGCCCCCATCACCTCCGGGTGACCCTCGGCTCACCGCAGTCCTTGGGTAAAGTCAGACGCTGCTTCTGACCCCGAGCAGGTCTGTCCTTTCTTCGCTGGACTATTCTTCTCCTCAACTACTGTGGGGCACCCACGCGCCTGATGAGTTCCTAACCAACTTGGACACGGCTGCCTCTGTTGAATTCAGATTTGCAATTTGAATTCAGCCTAGAGAACTGCTGTCATGGCCAGGGTTACTCCCAGGCAGCATGGGAGCCCAGAGACTAAGAGAGGTGGAAGAACGCCTTGACTTATCTGAAACTGCCCCTGGCAGTGTGGGCGGGCCCCAGGCCATTGACTGGCAGACAGGGTGTCAAATTGAGTCTAATAGAGCAGAGTGTGGTAGAGTGCTGAACACCCAGTAGGTGTCGACACACAGTAGGCACTTAACAAACGTGAATGACTAATGAACAGGGTGCAGGGGACACGCTCTTCCAGGCAGCGACTTCCTGGAGGAAGCCTGGGCGAGTCGGAAGCTTCCGAGTCCGAAATCCTGGAGGGACACTGCGGCACTCCGCATCAGGACGATTTAGAAGCGTCACTTGGGTTGGTTTTGCTTTTGGAATTCAATGTGAGAAGAAGTGAGGGAAAATCTACTAGTCCAGAAGATTCTGTGACACTCTTCTGTCATGGCGAGAAAGAGTAGGGTCACCTCCAAGGAGCCGGAGACTGTGGGGCTGGGAGCAGCTGGAGCCAGCAGCCAGCAAAGGCTATGCAGAGCCCAGGCCCAGGGATAAGCCCGTACATCCTGGCCTCTTCCCCGGACCCAGTCTCTTTCGCTTGGTGCTTTAATCTCTGCCCAAATCCAAAACCCCCTCTCTCCATCCCTGGGACCACGTGTGGGTAGGACCCTCGAGAAGACCCCTGTGGGCATGAGCTGAGACTGTGCCTTCAGGGGGAGGATGGAGAGGGCCTTCGAGGGGCATTCGTGACCCCCTCCTGCATCTGGGTGGGTCCTGTGAGCGCTCTGGCCGACACATTATGGCAGAAGTGACACTGGGCTGAACTCTAGGCCCAGGCCTTCCTTCAGAGAGCGAGAGTGAGAACTTCCTGTCTTTTGCAGCACTTCCTTTCAGAGCCCCAAGCAGCCAGGCAGTAGCGGGGACCCTGGACTGCTGTGCCCGAGCCAGCCTGTGGAGACGCTGCACGGGGAGACAGGAGTCAGCTCAGCCCTGGCCTCTTCCGCCCGGGCAGCCCAGCCCAGCCCAGCCCAGCCAGGGACCCAGCCACCATCTTACCCCTGGGCCCCAGCTGAGCCCGGTCAACCCACAGAGAACCAAGAGACACGGTTGGCTCACATCGTGCCATTTGGGGGTTGTGTGTAATGAACAAGTGACAACGAGAGCTCAGGAGCCGGCATTAAACCAGAGCACCCCATAAAGGAAGCTGTACCCCAAGAAGAGGCCATCTCCTGCAGGGGGGGTAGGTGAACCAGGAGCTGCTGAATTGCGGTGACAAAGCCACAAGCGGGAAGCAGGGGAGATGCAGAGCAGCCTGGGGCGCACACAGAACGTGCACTGCGAGTTTTTTATGGGGCTCTTCTTGATATTTGATTTTTTAATGTTTGAATTAAAAAAGGAGGTGCCTTTCCACTCTCCCGAGGGTGTCACAATCATCCAGCCATTGACCTTGAGCTAATCTTTGTGGCTGCAGTTTGTTACACAGCTTCTGGTACGTCACTGTGATTGGGATAAAAAAGGAAGTGGGAGGGAAGGGGGCTGGGGTCAGGCAGACACTCAGGAAGGGAAGGGGTGATGACGGCCAGCGGCCAGGGGCACTCGCGTCCCGGGCTGAGCTCTCTGTAGACAGTGACACAGCTCATCCTCCAGGCACCCCAGCGAGGAGGTAGGGACTGTGCCCTTACTTTTATGGTTGGAAAATCCGAGGCCCAGAGTCGGGGGACAAAGCGGAAGATCACAGCAGGAGCAGAGGGCCGGGCGGCAGCCACAGCTGGACACTGCCCTCTGGGGACTAGAGCTGAGCCGGCCTGCTCAAGCTCCAGGGCGAGGTCCGCCTGAGCCCTCCGGCCCATGCACTCACCTGGGCAGGAAGAGCCGGCTCCACCTGCTCAGGGTCTCGGGCCGCAGAGCCGCCTCCACCTGCTCCATTTTCCCGGGGTCTGGGAGGACCAGCAGCAGCAGGGCGTTCCCGCTGTACTCAATCTGCAGGACGGTGCAAGCCAGCTCGGGGTCGTAGAGGAACCGGTGCATCTCCTTCTGGTGCATCATGGGGACGCGGACCGAGGTCCTCTCGTCCACAAAAAAGCTCTCCTTCTTCCGGGTCTGGTAGCGGTCGAAGGGATGCTTCCACTTGGCTTAGGACACAAAACCCGGAAAACTCTGAGAACTTGTTCCGGGAGAGCACGTCTGGACACACAGCCAGAAAGCCACACACCTGGGCGACTGACTTCCTCTTGGGAATGCAAGCATGAGGGAAGACGGAGCACAGATGCTCCCTGTCACTAAGCTCCTTCCAGTGGGAGGCGCTGTCTCTTACATCATCACAAAGAGAATAAGGAACAAGGCAACCATCTCCATGTTAGGAATGAGGAAACGGAGTCTTGGCGACTTAGTTAAGCAGCTCCATTTCACAGCCAGGGCGCCTGCAAGCAGCAGGTGCATCGTCTCTGCCCGGCCGCTCCCAGACCACAGCCTGCTGCACAGCAGTGCAAGAGCGTCTTCCTCACTAGCCCACCCCAAGTCCTCAGAGAACAAACTGGAGAAAGAACTCGGGCAACAAAGCGCAACATGAAACGCAGATGCTCAGGAATACATAACCTGCTGATTATGGCCACGTCTGCTTGTGTAGCGTCTTCTCTGTGTCTCTTCATCTGCCCCACTACAGCCCCCTGAGGGCGCTGGTGACAGGAGGAGGGGGCCAGTCACCCTGTCCCTCATGCCCACATCCCGCTGATGACCAAGATGCTACCCTGAAGCCAGAGCTGCAATCGCGGCCCCCCCTCATGCTCACCTTGGGCCACTTACAGAACCTCCTAACTGTCCCTCTTCTCCTCTCTCACTCCCACGCCTCTCTAAAGAATTTTCCAGACCACAGCCAGACTGATCTTTCTGAACAGATGTGAGTGCTTCATGCCACTGCTTAAAACTCCACAGTTCTAGGGCTGGCACTGAGGCACAGTGGGCTAAGCCTCCGCCTGCAGCGCCAACATCCCCTATGGGCACTGGTTCACATCCTGGCAGCTCCTATCCTGATCCTGCTCTCTGCCTGTGGCCTGGGAAAGCACAGGAAGTGGAAGACAGCCCAAGTCCTTGGGTCCCTGCATCCACGTGGCAGACCCAAAAGAAGCTCCTGGCTCCTGGCTTTGGATCAGCCAGCTCTGGCCGTTGCAGCCATTTAAAGTGAACCAGTGGATGGAAGACCTCTCTGTCTCTCCATCTCTCTGTAACTCTACCTCTCAAATAAATAAATACATTTTTAAAAAATCTTAACAAAACAACCCTGCAGTTCTGAGTGTCCCTGGATAGAGCCTTCGGTCCTCCGTCCAGCCCCTGCTTCCTCCACACTGCAGCCCCGGCACTCCCCTGGCTCCCCTGGGCTCCCTGCACCGTGACGGGCAAGGCACTGGCGAGACTGAATCCGAGTCAGTTCTCCGAATCTGCAGCGGCCTCTCTTCCCCTTGCACCTGTCCACTCGCTGCTTCCTCCCCACCCGCGTCTGCCCGCTGAGCGAGAGCACTTCCTTGCCCGGGAGGGGCAGGGCTCTGCGTGCGCGAGGCCTCACCTTTGAAGAAGATGTGGTTGAGGAGCACGGCGAGCGTGTCGTGGTGGAAGTCCTGCAGGCAGTCCTGCACTCGCCCGTACGTCTGCGTCCTCACGTAGTCGTTGATCTGCCTCCCCGTGCTGGTGGAGTCCGTGAAGTTGGCAGAAAAGGCGAACGCTCCGTACAGCTCCCTGGCGCTGTCCAGGAAGTGCTGCCGGGGCTTCAGCTGCTGGTCCAGGAACAAGGAGTTGCCCAGTTTTAGCTCAAGTTTGGGGCTGGGCAGCTGCAGGGTACGGATGAGGCTCTGGAAGCCCTGGTGGACATCGGCCTCAGGGGTCTCAGTGAGATTAAAGCCCAGGCCCTCCAGGACCTGGGCCGGGGCGTCGGGGCGGGCCCCGAGAGACAGCATGGCCAGGGTGCTGGCCATGCTCACCGGCGAGAAGAGGAGGTTCCCGGCCGTGTCTGCTGCGAGTCGCTTGTACAAACGCAAAGCGAAGCTGGTGATGGTGGGCGTGACTTTGAGGTAGGCAGGGGCGGGTTCTGAGAGCTGGCTGCTCAGGGCCGGGGCCACCGCCGGACTCTTATCTCCGTGGGCAGAGGCCGCAATCCCTGCACCCAGCAGCCACAGCCAGGCGGGCCCCATCCTCTGGGAACAAGATGGTGAACGCGTCACTCTTTTCCACAAACGACTTCATGGCTCCCCACTGATTATGCAATAAGCGCCACCCCTCAAACCGTACAGGGTGCTGTGGGGTGCACTGGGGGGCCAGGGGGTGGGGGAGGGCCTAGTACCCCGTCACTTCTTCCCAAGGCTTCAGCAAGCGCAGCACCCCTTCAGCTGCCCCACACGCCAGTGGGCACCCCTCCTCCTCCCTTGCTTTCTCTTTCCTTTCTTGGTTCCTTCCAGGAGTTATTTCAATCATTCACAACTCTCAAGGATCTGTCTGGTCCGAGAAGTGCCCTAGGGACTAAGTATCCAGAGGGGAGAAGGTAGCAGGGGCCGGCACTGCTCTGCGGTGCGTGAGCTGCCCATGGGAAGCCTGCATTCACATCCGAGTGTCTGATTGGAGTCCTGGCTGCTCCACTTTCAATCCGGCTTCCTGCTAATGAGCGCCCAGGGAGGCAGCGAGTGACGGCTCAAGTGCTTGGGTCCCTGCCTCCCAGATGGAGCTCCAGTCTCCCAGCTTTAGCCTGGCCACATCCAAGCTGTTGCAGGCATTTGGGGAGTGAACCAGCAGATAGAAGACCTGTCTGTCTGTCTGTCTGTCTGTCTCCCTCTCTGTCACTTTGCCTTTCATATAAAATATAAATACAGCCTAAAGAAGGAAGAGTGATTCCTGACTTCATAGAGACGAGAGCCAGCTTGGCTGGCACAGCGACCACATACGTGTGATTACACACAGACGAACGCCTTGAAGCAAGAGTCCTGGCCACTGTGACAGTGAGGGATGCTGGCCTCTTGCACCAAGGCTCGGTCATGAACTGTGACCTTGCCCATTATAAGGGAAGGATTGGAATCACTGAAGCTGAAGGGGGAGGGTGCCCGCTGCTTCTTGAGTCTTTCATTAGTGGACGTGATGACTGGGCACCCGGACCACGTGGAGAACGGACAGTGATGCAGTGATATGGGGGAAGCCCTGGAGAGGGTGGGTGACTCCGTCTCCATCGAGCCTTTGTCATCCAGAGCCGCAGACATTGCCACGTGCAGTGGCTGAAACCACTGAGGCACGGATGGAGGGACCATGTCTGTCCCTGGCTGAACTGTGCCTGGCCGAAGCCCATCAGCTGGCATCCCAAGCCCCAGGGCCTCCCACCGTGGTCTTGTTTGGAAACAGGGTCACCGCAGGTGTAATTAATCAGGAGGGACCAGGGGAGGTCCCCACAGCATGTGATGCGTGTCCTCGTCCAAAGGGGAAATTGGGGCACAGAGATGCCCACGGGGAGAGCGAAGATGCAGGCAGAGGGCCGGTGAGGCTGCGGCAGGCCAAGGAGCAGGTGGGCAGCAGGCCCCAGGCCTGGGAGCCAGGTCGGGAACGGACGCTCCCTCACACAACTCAGAAGGGACCAACCCTGCTGGCACCTTGGTCTTGGACTTTGAGCTCCAGAAACAGCTGTTGTGGAAGCCACTCAGTGTGTGGCACTTTGCTAAGGCAGCCCTTGCAAGCAAATGCGTATTCCTCCTGCGTTAAGGTGTAGAATGGGCCAGAGTAGCCTGGAGGGTGGCACGAGAGGAGCCCTGGGAACGGGACCCAGCCTGGGGGACCTGCAGGTGGACAGCACTCCTCTCTGCTCAGCCTGCCTGTGGCTAGCACCCTCCTTCCCTGCTCAGGGCCCTCTCCCATGGTGTCACACACATCTGCTTTGTCCCCTAGATCCTGGACGTCTTCAGTCAGGGCAGCATTGTCCTCCTGCTCCCCTGGCCATTGACCCTCCCGGTGTCCCCTGCCCGGTGGCTGACCACTGCTGGCCATGGGATCCTTGTTGCTAGCTTGTTCTGTAACATCTGTGGCTCGGAGCAGCTGGAGAACTGTTTGCCCAGCCAGTGGCTCCCAGGTCCCACGCTGTGGCAGCACAGGGGGAGAGGGTCGGTTTTGGCAGCTGGCCTACAGCCTGGGACATCCAAGTCCCCTGCCTGCAGCAAAGGCCAGGACCGGGAGGGATGCACGCGGCCTCGTTATCTGTTCTGTTGAAACGCGCTTGCTTGCTGGCCAAAGTACTTCGGGCACCCTTCAGGCCACGTCCTCCCTCCCCAGCATGGCTGGTGTGGGTCACTTAGATGCATCCTTTGGTGGAGAATCTGGAAGACGCAGGATGATTGAACAACTGGTCTAACCCTGCACAGGGACATGACTGTGATGGAACCCTTGCAGGGGTGTTCCAAGGATTCGCCACCCTTGCCTTCCTGCCGCACCCCCGAGGACGGCCAGAATCCAGCCCCAGTGACCAGCAAATCATGAGCCAGGGGCCTGGCTTTGAGCCAAGGCCGAGCGGTCATTCAGTGTTTGCGGCTGACCAAAGGTGTCTCCTTTTGCAAAAATGCAGATGACCGTGCTTGCTCTGGGTGCTGGAGCCCTTGACGGATTAAGTGGCAGGCAGTGTGGCGAGCCCTGGGCACGGCGGCAGGCTGGGACAGTTCCTCCCAGTTCTGCTGTGGTGGGGGAGTGATGATGCCTGGCCCCATTCTGAATTCCTTTCCTGAAAGATGCCAGCGGGGGGAGGGGGGCACTGGGAGCGCTCTCCATGGTGGGAAGCAGTCCTGTGAACTAAGGGCTCATTAAGTTGATGGGGATCTTAGATACTTCACATCACCGGGTCTCAAATGCGGGGGAAGGGGCAGGGGCAGCCGGGGCTGCTGCTGGTGCTTTCGTAGGTGAGACTTGGGTGCGGGAAGGTTCTGGAAGGCCCAGAGCATTCCCACGCAGTGCAGAATGCTTCTGCCCACAGGCCAGGAGAGTCCTTTTAGAGAAAGGCTGACTTTCAGTTATTGAATCTTTAGAAGGACCCTAAGACACAGGGGTTAGTGTGTGTCGTGTTGGGAGACAGAGGCTCGGGGTCGGGACCAGAGGCAGGAGTGGGACTCGAATTGCAGACCCCAGCCCAGCGCGACCTCCCCACCCAGGGTCCTGACAAGTCCTCTGCAGCTGCGTGCTGCTTGGCCCTGGGCTGCCCCTCCGTCTCGTCCTGCTTGCTGGTCTACCTCCTGGAATACTCGGGGTTCTTCTCTCCATGTTCATAAGGCCAAGTTTCTCATACACGGTTATGGAAACCTCAAGTTCCTAGTTTAAGATCTGGAGGAGGCAGTGCATGGCTATTTTTTGTTGTTTTTCAGGGGATTCACTTTGCACATCCCTACTGCCAAAGTGAGAGCGAGCGAGTGAGCGAGCGAGAGAGAGAGATCGGAAAGGCAGGTTCAGAGATTGAGAAAGACAGAGAGAGAGAGACAGAGTTGAGAAAGAGACACTGAGAGACACTGAGATGGAGAAAGACTGGGAGAGAAAGACTGAAAGAGAAGAAGGAGTACACGGGTTCTGTGTCCTGACTGGGTTTTGGGTGAAGCACAGTACCCAGAGTACTCACAGTACCCGCATTACTCAGGACACTCACAGGCATCAGTACCCACAGTACTCAGAGTACTCACAGGCACAGCACTCACAGTACCCATAGTACTGACAATACTCACAGGTACACAGTACCCAGAGCACTCACAGGCACAGCACTCAAAGTACCCATGGTACTGACAATACTCACAGGTACACAGTACTCAGAGTACTCACAGGCACAGCACTCACAGTACCCATGGTACTAACAGTATTCACAGGCACAGAGTACCCACAGTACCCAGAATACTCACAGTACCCACAGACACATTACTCACAGTACTCGCATTACTCAGGACACTCACAAACCCATGGTACTGACAATACTCAGGACACTCACAGACACAGCACTCACAGGCACAGGACTCGCGATCTTCACAGTACTCACAGACAGCCCTCGAAGTATTCACAGTGCTCACGGTACTTACAATACTCACAGGCACACAGAACACACAGTACTTGGGACACTCACAGGCACAGCACTCACAGAAATAGTACTCACAATACTCACAGCATTCACAGACACAGCCCTTGGAGTACTCACAGTACTGACAATACTCAGGCACACAGAACACACAGTACTCGGGACACTCACAGGCACAGCACTCATGATCTTCACAGCACTCATGGACACGACCCTTGCAGCACTCACAGTATTCATGGTACTGACAATACTCACAGGCACACAGTACACACAGTACACAGGACACTCATAGGCACAGTACTCATGCTCTTCAGAGCACTCACAGACACAGCCCTCAGAGTACTCACAGTGCTCACAGTACTGGCAATACTCACAGGCACACAGTACGCAGAGTACTCACAGCACCCACAGACACAGCACTCACAGTACTCATGATACTGACAATGCTCACAGGCACAGAGTAACCTCAGTACCCAGAGTACTCACAGCACCCACAGACACATTACTCACAGTACCCACATTACTCAGGACACTCACAGGCACTGTTCCTGTACTTGTAGTGTGTGCAAGCACTTACAGTACTCATAGCCACAGTACCCACATTACTCAGGACACTCACAAACCCATGGTACTGACAATACTCAGGACACTCACAGACACAGCACTCACAATCTTCACAGCACTCACAGATACAGCCCTCAAAGTACTCACAGTGCTCACAGTACTGGCAATGCTCACAGGCACACAGTACACACAGTACTCAGGACACCCACAGGCACAGGACTCACAGGCACAGCACTCACAGGTACAGCCCTGAGTACTCACAGTACCCATGGTACTGACAGTACTCACAGGCACACAGTACCCAGAGTACTCACAGTACCCACAGGCACAGGACTCACAGTACCCGCATTACTCAGGACACTCACAGGCACACAGTACCCACAGTACTCAGAGTACTCACAGGCACAGCACTCACAGTACCCATGGTACTGACAGTACTCACAGGCACAGAGTACCCAAGTACCCAGAATACTCACAGCACCCACAGACACATTACTCACAGTACCCACATTACTCAGGACACTCACAAACCCACGGTACTGACAATACTCAGGACAGCCACAGATACAGCACTCACAGTATTCATGGTACTGACAATACTCACAGGCACACAGTACACACAGTACTCAGGACACTCACAGGCACAGTACTCATAGGCACAGTACTCATGATCTTCACAGCACTCACAGACACAGCCCTCAGAATACTCACAGTGCTCACGGAGAAGCCCCTGAGTGGGCCAGGACCTGCAGCACTGCGTGGCCTCCAGCCGGCAGGACAGCGGGGTCAGAAGAGCACCGAGCTGGTCAATATTTGCCAGGGTGGTTCCAGAACTGCTGTGAGGGCAGTGCGGCAGACAGGAAGGGACCTGCACCCAGCCCTGCAGTGGCCACCGTCTGTCCCGCACACAGAAGGACAGTGGTGACGTGGGTGCTGCCCGGGGCCAAGGCTGGTCTGCTGCTGCATTGGGGACCCTGGGTGGCTCTCACCATGAGAACACTAGAGAGACTGGAGGGTCCCACTACAGAGGAGGAGTGCATCTCAGGACGTGGGTGGTGGGCACTCTCAGAGGACACCTGAGCCCACCCCGCCCAGCCCTCAGCGCCACACCAACCCCTCTGCACCCCACTGCCATGGGGAGAGATGCAATCACTGTGCATAAAAACAGCAGACGGAGGAAGTCGTCCAACAGAGCAGCCACCCCACTACCCCATGCTGAAACCTTGGCCCTCCCAGGCAGCCGGAGCATGTGGCCAGGGCGAGCTCCCCCACATCTCTCCACAGTGCAGGCCAGGGCAGGCTCCACCACATCTCCACACAGTGCCTGGCCAGGGTGGGCTCTCCCACGTGTCCCCAGACTGTGTGGTGAGGGTGGGCTCCCACACGTTTCTGTAGACTGAATGGCCAGGGAGGGTTCCCCCACATCTCCCCCACAGTGTGTGGCCAGGGCGGGCTTTCCCACATCTCCCCAGACTGCATGGCCAAGGCAGGCTCCACCACGTCTCCACACAGTGTGTGGCCAGGGCAGGCTCCCCTACATCTCCCCACAGCCCGTGGCCAGGGCAGGCTCTCCCATGTCTCCCCAGACTGCGTGGCCAGGGTGGGCTCCCCCACGTCTCCACACAGTGCGTGGCCAGGGTGGGCTCTCCCACGTCTCCCCAGACTGCATGGCCAGGCTGAGCTCTCTCACATCTCGCCACAGTGTGGCCAGGGCAGGCTCTCCCATGTGTCCTCAGACCGTGTGGCCAGGGTGAGCTCTCCTACATCGCTCCACATTGCGTGGGCAGGGCAGGCTCCCCCATGTCTCCCCAGACTGCATGGCCAGGGCAGGCTCCCCCATGTCTCCCCAGACTGCGTGGCCAGGGCAGGCTCAATGACATCTACACACAGCGTGTGGCCAGGGCAGGCTCCCCCACGTCTCCCCAGACTAAGTGGCCAGGGCGGGCTCCCCACGTCTCCCCAGACTGCATGGCCAGGGTGGGCTCCCCACGTCTCCCTACAGTGTGTGGCCAGGGCGGGCTCCCCACGTCTCCATACAGTGCGTGGCCAGGGCGGGCTCCCCCACGTCTCCCCAGACTAAGTGGCCACTGCCCCACGTCTCCCTACAGTGTGCGGCCAGGGCAGGCTCCCCCACGTCTCCCCAGACTAAGTGGCCAGGGCGGGCTCCCCACGTCTCCCTACAGTGTGTAGCCAGGGCAGGCTCCCCCACGTCTCCCTACAGTGCATGGCCAGGTCAGGCTCCCCATGTCTCCCTACAGTGCGTGGCCAGGGCAGGCTCCCCCACGTCTCCCCACAGTGCATGGCCAGGGCGGGCTCCCCACGTCTCCCTACAGTGCGTGGCCAGGGCGGGCTCCCCCACGTCTCCCTACAGTGTGCGGCCAGGGCGGGCTCCCCACGTCTCCCTACAGTGTGCAGCCAGGGTGCAGCCTGAGCTAAGGAAATGCTTACTTATGAGACATCTCTTGATGATGAAATCGAGGTGATTTTCATGATTCTTTTGTTTTTCATATTTTTTGCAAACAGCATGTATTTACAATAATCTAAAAAAATAATTATTAAATCATACAAGGAGAGCTCAACCACAAAATAAAAGCTTGGGGTGGGCCCTTGGCCAAGTGGTTAACAAATGTGTGAGCCGCATCACAGACCTGGGTTTCAACCCCAACCCCAGCTTCCTGCTGACGTGGACCTGGGAGACGGCAGTGATGGCTCAAGTGACTGAGTCCTTGCCACCCACGTGGAGACCTGGAGGGAGTGCCCAGCTCCCAGCTCCCAGCTCTGACTTTGGTGCAGCCTGGGCCATCACAGATTTGAGAAGTGAACAAGCAGGTGGAAGTGTCCTCTGTCTCTCTCTTCTCTCTCCCTGCCCCCTCCCTCCCGTTTTCAATAGATAACTTTGTTTAAAATTTTAAAAACAAAGCAAGAGCCTTAGCCCTCTCTGACACAGTGGCCCCCATCTTTTACCCGAAATCCCTCAGAGACTGAGCCGCTCGTCCGCTGCGGAGGAGGCAGGGCGCTGGGGGTGTGCAACCCGGCACAGCTTCCCCGGGACAAGCCTCTGGGTCTGGCAGTGTCCAGTCCTCATCTGGTCCTGCGTCTTCACGGCTTTGGGCTCTTCGAGCTGCTTCTAGAGGGACGAAAGCCTTCTCCAAGGGGTTGCCCTGTGACTTCACGAGAAACCTCGAGCCAGGCCACCCAGGAAACTACCTCATCTTCACAATTGCATCACTGATCAAGAGTCTTCCCTTGCTGACCTGTTTCCAGGCCCTTCCCACCAGAACCTGCCAGCATTTTCTACACACCAGCTCCCTCCTACCTAATCCATCAGAACTTCCCCAGGACTCGGATCACCGGTCATCTTTGAGCACCGCTCCTGACTTCCCCCGTGATCTCTGTGCAATACAGCTTCTCACCACGCCAAGACCAGGACTTCAGCACTTGGCCTTCCAATGTGCACCGGAAGATGGACTCATCCTGGCCTGGGCCTGGGGACAGGCAGGGGACACCCCTGGCACCAGGTGTCCCAGAGGCTCTGCCAACAACATCTGCCACACTCTTGAAAACTCCCCAGCATAGCCACGAAGGGGGTGGCCATTGCTTTTTATTTTTCTGAGATTTATTTATTTGAAAGGCAGAGTTACAGAGAGAAAAAGACATCTTCCATTTGGTGGTTCGCTCTCCAAATGACTACAGTGACTGGGGTTGGGCCAGGCCAGAGCCAAAGCCCAGGACCTTGAACTCCATCTGGGTTTCCCACGTGGGCGGAAGGGGCCCAAGCACTTGGGTATCTTCCACTGCTTTCTCAAGCACATTAGCAGCAGCCAGGACTCGAACCAGCACCCATATGGGATGCCACCCCAGCACCCATACGGGATGCCACCCCAGCACCCATATGGGATGCCACCCCAGCACCCATATGGGATGCCACCCCAGCACCCCATCATTGCTTCACTGACATTCTAGGGGCAGTTCCTTAGCAACCGAGGCGCCAGGTCAGCCCCAGAAGCTGAAGAGGTAATAAAACACCCTCCCTTCTGCCTTGAGGGAGACTTTGCAGCCACATGGTAACAACCATGCTTGATACATTGTAACCTGGGATGTTGCAGCTTGAGATCATGGCCAAATTAACGCCCAAGTTGTTTACTGCCCCCCCCCCAGCATCTCTGTCATTTTACAAATCCTCCAGCCACTTCCTTCCCGAAGGGGCACACCCCACCCAGCTCCCTCCACCACTGGAGTGCCAGGGCTCTGGCCCAGGCTCCTGCCTCCTGACCAACTGGAGTGCTCCCACACGTGGCGCTGTGGGGCGTGGCCTGTCTTCTTTCGGGATCATCAAGTAATAAATCCTTCTTTCCAAGGCACTTTTCCCTGTGCTCGTCATCTTATTCCTGATTAAAACACACTTCAAAACAAATGCAAGGTACATTTCAAAAACAAAAGCACGGGTGAGCATTTGGCCTAGCAGCTCAGGTGCCTGTGTCCCACGCCAGGTGCCTGGATTTGAGTCCTGGCTCTGGCTCCCAATTCCAGCTTCCTGCTACTGCAGACCCTGGGAGGCAGCGAGTGGTGGCTCAAGGACTTTGGTCACTGCCACCCACATGGGAGACCTGGATTGCATTCCCAGCTCCTGGCTGTGGCTTGATTCAGACCTAACTGTTGCAAGCATTTGGGGACTGAATGAGCCAGTCAGAGTTCTCTAGTTGCCCATCAAGGAAATAAATAATACAAAATAAAAACAAATGCAGAAGATAGACAACTTGAACAACAGAGAGGGGAAGAACATTCAGCCAGCCACAGAGTGTGTCCTGTGACCACTCCTGCACCTGCTGGCTGGCGGCAGTCCCGGCAGGCGGCACTCTGTGCCACCTGGGAGCAAGCTGAGAGGAGGTGTTGACAGCTCCCGCCCACCCCAGCCACGGGGGCCCCTGATGGTTACTAGGATGGGCTAACCAGGAATTACAAAGCATCTTAGCCAGTTCTGCATGCCTGCCCTGCCCCGGTGCCTGCCTACTAGAGTACCCCGTGAGCAGAGTCCTGTCTGGCCCAGTATGCTCCATGGAGGCAGGATGGTCACCAGTGACATTTATGGGGCAGGGGGGCTGAAGGCAGGGCACTGTGGGGACAACAAGGCTGGGCCCAGGGAACAGGCAGTTGGAGCCCCTGATACCCAGGCTTAGGCTCTGGTCCTAATCCCACCTGCAGCCCGGGTTGGTGGTCCGCACCCTCTGAGCCTCTGCCCCTTGATTTGGAAAATGAAGTGAGGGGTGGAGGGGGCTCCCTTCCAGGCTAGCTCCCTGCTGCTGCACTCTTCCACGTGAAACGGCGTGGCAAAGAGCAGGTGGAGGCTCGGTCCATCCCATGTGCAACCCCCTGGAAAGGGTCTTTGGGTCTGCCAGGAGCACAGACTGGCTGGAGGCTCAGGAGACGTCCCCTGGCTGGGAGAGGTGAAGGGGGAAGGAGGCGCACAGCAGAGCCAACGGGAAGGAGAGGAGACGGCTCAGAGGGCGTGGCTGCCCCACAGTCCCTGGCACCACGTGTGGCTCTCAGGACAGAGAGGAAGGGAGCAAGAGCATTGTCCCTGCAAACCCGCAGGAGGGCTGCGTGTGTGTGAGGCGGGAAACCAGCCCTGGGCTCCCCCGCAGCCACACACAGCCCTGGGCTCCCCCGCAGCCACACACAGCCCTGGGCTCCCCCGCAGCCGCACACAGCCCTGGGCATGTTCTCTGCCACGGTGACCAGCACCTTCCATCATCTGACCACCCCATTTGTGGCACAGGACACTCCAGCCGCACGTACTCTGCACTGTCCCCCCCCCCCCCGTGCCTGCCCACTCCAACTCACACCCCCTTGCCCTCCCAATACTCTCTCCCAATCATCCCGCTCATTGCTTTATGGGCTGGGTCCTATGATCGCTGGATGGTCAGTCGTCTCGTCTGGGCCCTGCAGGCCGGGGACCAGGTTCACCTGACTCACTCCTTGCAGACGTTTCGTGTTTGGTAAGTTTTTGTGGGACAGATCCTTGCAGCAGCCACTGAGATGTCCTGGGATGGCGTCCAGGCACCCTTCCAGACATGGATGCTGCAGGGGGTGGGAGTCCTGTGGCCAGCTGAACACACACATCAGGTTTATTGAATTTATTACTGTCAGTCTGCAATCCAGGAGCTATGAGTGTATTTACTGTGCCACGAAGCCGGGATCCTGACTGGAGCTCCCAGGCTTCACCTCAGGGCCAGGGTTTCTGCTGACAGCTCCCTGCTGAGCCTCGGAAGTGGGGTCCCCACCAGTGGATCCAGCTGCCCTGGGGTGAGGTGGGCCCGCGGAACAGAAGGCAGCAGCAGGCAGCATCGCTGGCTACTTCCGGTGCAGCCGCGACGAGCCAGCGTCAGCAGGGCACTGCCCACCTAGGGCTGAGTGGGGTTCTCCACTTTCCCCAGGAAGAGAATCGCGTCCGTGGCCTTGCTTATGATGGCCATCAGGAAGGGTCTGTCCAGGAGAAAGACATAGGAGGGGCCATCCTTGGAGCGGACCGTGAGCTTGGTGCTGGTGGCCGCCACAGCCTCGGTGCCCTCCTCGCTGACATCAAGGACAGCCTTGTGGGTGGCCTGCCGAGGGAAAGCAGACATCAGAGGGTCCCATAGAGCGCCCTTCACTTACCTTGTCTACGAATAGTGACACCTGCCTTGAGAGGCTTCAAGTTCACGTACGCCAAATGCCTGGCACTGGGTTTGCTCGGTAGCTTGCAGCAAGTACAGGCTCCTGGCCCATTGGTCTTTAGGCATGGAGGGGAATAATTACAAATGCAGACCAGACAGAGCTGAATGGGGGTCTCAGTTCTGCCACATACTGTTACAAAAATGCTCTGTGTGCCATGTGCTTCTGCTTCCGAATCCATCCAAGGTGGTGGCATTTGCGCGCATCCTGCCTGGTTATCACGAGAATTAAAGGAGATCCTGGTACACAAATGCTCGCGCCCTGGCTTGCTGTAGTAACGGCTGCATGGCTGCGTGGCAGACACGGAGTAGTATCACTGAAGGCTGGACCCCTGCTTTGTCTTCTGGGGGTAGATCTCAGCCTGGGGTTCATGCCCTCTGAAGCTCCAGGGAGGCTGAGACAGGCCCATGGGCACAGGCCTTCATTTTGCAGGGGCTCATGGGCAGTCTCCTCGGGGAGATGTCCACTGTGCTTATCATATCCCAGTGGGCTCTCTGCATCCCTTCCCTGGAAACCAGTGACAAAGCCCCCTCCAGGGTCCCAAGACCACTCTTGACCATTATGATCTATGATCAAAATAAAATATTCGGTCGGGGTCCAGACCTTACCCACGTGTGCACAGAGGCCAGTCAGGTAACCCCTGGAGGGTCCCTGTACAAGCATGGTGCCCTCGGAACAGCACAAGGACACCCACTGGCTGGCAAGGGTGTGTGTGGCTCAGCCGGGGCCATCACTGTCGTGCAGGAGGTGGGCTCACCGTGGTTGTAAGGTTTATTTCTAAAGGATCAGAAATCTAGACTTTTCGACCTAACATTCATATACTATTTTAGAGGTTCTCTCTCTCTCTCCCCTTCCTTCCTCTCTCCCTGCCCCCACCCTCAACAACATATCAGAGGGTACAAACAGCAACATGATTACAGGGTGCAAATGGCCTATGGCAGCTGCATGAGGATCTAAACTGTAGGGAGGAAGGCAGTCAAATGCCAAGGAGAGAGGCCAGTGTGTGGCGTAAAGCTGCCGCCCGAGATGCTGGCGTCCCATACGGGCACCGTTCATGTCCTGACTGCTCCACTCCAATCCTGCTCCCTGCCAACGTGCTGGGAAAGTAGCAGGGCACGGCTCAAGTATTTGGGTCCCTGCCACCCGTGTGGGAGACCCGGATAAAGCTCCTGGCTTTGGCCTGGCACAGCCTGGGCCATTGTGGCCATCTGGGGAGTGAACCAGGGGATGGAAAAACGCCTCTCTGTGTGTCTTTCCCTCTCTTTCTGTATCTGCCTTTCAAATAAACCTTTTACAAAATGCCAAGAGCATCTGCTTGTCTGCAGCAGGGATTGGACCAGGAGCAGCTCCTGTTCTCGGAGCACTGTTTGGAGCGAGATACAAGGTTCTGCACATCAGAGGGATGTGGGCCATGGAGTCGCAGGCCAGGCAGCCACAGGGCTCGGCCCTTCCTCTGCCCTGGAGAAACTGCTTGACTCTGTTTCCTGATCTGTGAACTGAGGCTGCGCCAGCAGCTGATTTCCCCAGGCTAGTCCAGCTCAGGCTCTCTTGCGAGTGTTCTTCCAATCAACTCACTTTGGAGACCTGCAGGGAGTGTCTTTTTGTAATTCCAGAAAAGTCGGCATTTTTGTTGAAGGCATTGTGGATACCCAGCTTCGGGAGGATGGTCTCCAGGTCATAGGAGGCAGAGATGGAAAATCTGGGGACGAACACGTGAACCCACCTGCAGAGAAGGGAGGGGGAAAGGTGAGGTCGCAGCTCACGGTGTTTCCGTCTACTTCCAGGTGGCAGTCCCGGGAGACTTTGCTCTTCCTCCAGGCATTGTGGGCAGCTCTTCAAGGGCCAGCCGATCCCAGCCACGCCACCCTGCGGCTCTGGAAGAGAGCAAGCCCAGCACCGGGGATCTGCTGGACGCTGGCCAGCACGCAGCCTGTGCCCGGTCTGCAGGGGTGATCACTCAACAGCTTGCACCACACTTGGCTGAATGCCATCACCCAGCAAATTAACACGGACGCTCACCTGCTCGGGAGCGAGCGGCTCCACTTCTTCAGCCTCCTGGCTGACAAGGCCGCTTCCAGCTGTCGCATCCTGCCCTTCGCAGGGAGGATGAAGAAGGCCACGGCGTCCCCCTTGTAGCGCATCTGCAGCACGGAGCAGTTCAGCTCCGGATCCACCCCAAATCCAAACATCTCCACCTGCTGCATCATGGGCACGCGCACAGGGGTCTGGCCGCCCACCAAGAACGGGCAACTTGTGTTCGTGTCTGCAGGGTTAAAAGGCTGTGTCCACTTGGCTAACCAAAGAGAGAAGAGAGTGAGGTGCAGTGAGTGAGGCGAACACAGCACCCACACTGCAGCCAGGCCCTCCTGAAACTCGCTTTCCCATAACAACCAATGCCAACGGCGACTTGTCAGAGCTCCGGAAGTGAACCCGATGGCTGTAGCCAACGGCTGCCTCTGCACTGGTCCTAATCCCACACCCCGCTGCCCCACTGTGCTCATCAAAGTCCACGTTTCCGAGGAAACCACGGCGACCGAAGCCACCAGAGGGAAACGTGGGGCTGGGGCCCGTGAGAGCTGCATTTGCAGAGACTCCTCGTGGTGCGACCTGGCTTGTGAGCCCTGGGAATACGTCACCTGCAAAGCTGCCCAGATAGGATCTCATTTGGAGCTCAGCCAGTGCACAAATCCTGTCCCCAGGGAGCATTTGTGGAAAGCAATTACACACAGACGCCCGAGGCAGGGAATAACCTTTAGGGTCAACAACACACTGGCCAGAGTCTTTAGGAGGACGGACTGGGACAGCATCAGCAAAGACGACAGAGTGGGCACCTCAGCTTGGTCCCCCTTCCCAAGCATAACCAGGAAAAGGGTGAATGTTTTCCAGAAATCTGGACATGCAAGCCAACAGCTGGCTCTCGATGGGAGCAGTGTGCCTGTGCTGTTCTGTTTGGCTGGTGCCCCTGCCGTCCTCCATGCTCCCAGTCGGCCTCGGCAAGCAGCAACCTGCCCCCGGTGCCGAGGGGGAGCAGCAGCGCTGGGCCACGGCCAGGTCTCAGCACTGAAGACTGTGCTGTCGCCCCGTCCGTGGGTCTGCACAATCCCAACTCCACTTCTGCCTGAAGTCCATCCAGCACCAAACACCTTCTTCCTGGCCCTGCAGGAGTATTTGTCAAAAACCACCACAGGCAAGTGTTTAAACTTCATGACCGCCTGGCTGATAGATGAAAACATAGTGCTGGCCATGGAGTAACCCAGGTTTTTAAAGGGAAACCTGAAGAACAAGACGTTCCCTGGGGCTTTGGGAAGTTCTAGCCTCCTTCAAGTTGAAATGAATCAACACTAAACAGGAGCTTAACCCACAGAAAGAAAGAAACCAGCAAAGGAAATTGAGTAGTTAAAAACAAACAGTGTAGGGGCTGGCACTGTGGCATAGTGGGTAAAGTCACTGTCTGCAGTGCAGGCATCCCATATGGGCGCCAGTTCGATTCCTGGCTGCTCCACTTCCGATCCAGCTCTCTGCTACGGCCTGGGAAAGCAGTAGATGGCCCAAGTCCTTGGGCCCCTGCACCCACGTGGGAGACTGGGAAGAAGCTCCTGGCTCCTGGTTTCCAATCAGCCCATCTCTGGCCATTGCGGCCATTTGGGGAGTGAACCAGTAGATGGAAGACCTCTCTCTCTCTCTCTCTCTCTCTCTCTCCCTCCCTCCCTCTGCCTCTCTGTAACTCTGCCTTCCAAATAAATAAATAGAAATATTTTTAAAAAGTGTAAAGAATTTTTTGTTTGTTATTTTCCTCTGATCTAAAAGACAAATCTATGTCAAAGGCACACACAATGTATGTAGATGTTATTTGTGACAACAGCCGGAAGGGGATGGAGGGAGAATGTAGCTACTTAGCAGCGAAAGTTTTGTGGGAGACTGACGTGAAGTTGCTTTTAATCGGAACCAGATTATTATAAGTTAAGATGTTAATTATAATCCCCCTGGTAACCACTAAGGAAATAACTCAGGTATATTGCGAAAAGAAAGTAATTAAAGTGTTAAGCTAGTGAATACTTCTTTAACACAAAAGATGGCAGTATGGAGAAATGAAAGAACCAAAGGACATAGATATATAGAAATAAGGTCTATTTCTAAGAAGAATCAGCAAAGCGGAAGACATAGGCCTACCTAATACTTAGAGTGAACGTATGGAATGTTACAGAGTGGGTTGTGAGGAACTCCTGGTCCAATCACGTGCTCTCAGAGAGCAATCAGTGAGCCCAGGAAGAGGGTTTACACCACAAGGCACTAGGGGATGCCAATCAACACCATCATGGCACGCCCCTCCACGCACTATGGCCATGGCTAACTAGACAGGCCACTTAATCTGTCTACCCAAAAGCAAAGTTGCATGGGGCCCCAGGGAGTGCTAAACTCAGCACGAGCTACTCGAAGCCATGTGGCCAGCTGGCTACAAAGCTAATCAGAGCCTAAGCCCTCCCATGAGCCCTCCCTGTATATTTGCACAAAACAAAATCCCAGTCACCTCCTGGATCCCTACCTTTGAAGAAAATGTGGTTCACCAGGACCATGGTGGTCAGAGGGTCCAGGTCGTGAACCACGTCCACAACCTTCCCCCGGGTCTCCCTCTTCACATAGCTGTTGATCCTCTGCTGAGCCACCACAGAGTCGGAGAAGTCCATGGGAAACACGGTCGTCTCATACAACCTCCTGAGGTCGGCCAAGAAGGGCGCCTGGAGCTGCAGGTCCTGGCTGATGAACAGGGTGCTCCCCATCCGCAAGCCCAGGTCGCTGCTGGAGACTTGCAGAGAGAGGAGGAGGTCCTGGAAGCCCCTGTGGATGCTTGCTTCCGAAATGACCGTGATGTTGAAGCCCAGGCTCTCAAGGACCTGGGTCTTGGTGGCTGAGCGGGCGCCCAGAGACAGCATGGCTAGGGAAGTGGAGATACTCACGGGTGAGAAGATGACATTTTGGCCTGGGCTCTCTGCAAGCAGCCTCCTGTACAGGCGGAAGGCGAAGTTGGCGTTGTTGGAAGACACCTGGGAAGCGGGGGTGCTCTTCGTGGAGGAGGGGCGGGGGCATCCCCCCCTGGGGCTGTTGGATGGGGGCACACAGCAGATGGCAGCACAGAGGCCAACAACGAAGAGAACCCCATAAAAGGAAGATGCCATCTTGGAACTTGATCTGCCGGAGAGAGAACCGTTGGGTGGGTGGAGGAAAGCTGAGAGCTCAGCCCCTGAACCAGGGACCCCCAGCCCTGCCCCGACCCCCACAGCATTAGCAAAATGACAGGCAGGTAAGTGAGCAGAGCCAGCTCTCTTGGAGCCTCCCTCCATCCTAAGTAGCTGTAGCTGTTGTCTGTTCTTAAATGAGACCCCAGACCCCAGAGGGGCCCCAGTCACAAGGCTGGTTCCAAGTCAGGTCTCAGATCCCAAACCCCACCCTCTGCTGCTCCTGCTTCGGGGGCTTCGTCTTGGAGCAACAAGAATGTGACACCCGATGGCAAGCTCTCAACCCCAGCAGGCAGAAATTCAAGCATGCTTTATCCTCTTTTGTGTAGGTCTGATCACTGCTTTTCACCCTGGCCACCATCCCCGGCCACAGGTGGCTTTGTGTCTCCCAAGAAGGGGAAAGCAGCACAGACAGGTGTCCTGGTGCCAAGACCCTCCAGGGACCCTGATGCCGACGAGCTGCCGCAGCCCTGGCCATGGCTGCCCGCTCCCCGTTCCAGCCTGCCAGCCACATTTGGCACAGTGGAATTCCAGGTTGTTCCGTGGAATTCCACCTGCAGCTGCCGCCATACCTGTTTTACGTTTGGCTTTTAGGTTTCTCACTACATGGTGAACCACCACCTTCCTCACTGTGCAAATAGCGTATCTCATGTGTGTGACAAGTAGCTGCACATTGGCCAATCACAAGCAGCCAACCGCTCAAACAGATATGAGCTGTAACCAATCAGCTGCAATCTGTCTCTGTAGGGCACTTGCATTTTCTGTAGGGTGTTACAGATATTACCTGCCTCTGTGGGAGGGTGCAGTATTCCAAACTGGTCTGGTCCGGATTGCTGCCCAATTCTAGAACCAAAAATAAAGCCCATGAAGATGGGCAAAGCTAGATCTGTGGTAACTGTTCTTCTGAGCAGGGTGCAGAGCGCGAGGGCAGTCAGAAGTCCCAGTGGGACTGGGGCTGGGCTTGTAGCCAACTGCGACAGTCGTGACGGGCAGGTGGCCTCTGCGACGTCCGTGCTGTGCAGTCACCTTTGTCAAACGGGCTACTGATGGGGCAGGGCAGGCTCACAACCGCTTTCCCGACAATCTCTTCATGGGAACTAAATTTATGGAAGCTGAGTTACAGTTTATCACACCAGATAGGATTAAGGTTAGAAGAACCGTGTGAAGAATCTTCTGGGAGAATGAACAGTCCTTTTGCAGAGCTGGTGACGTCTCTCTGTCTCCATTTATCAGATTGTACGATTTTGCTTCATAGTTTGGTCTCTAAGGTGCGCTCACATACAAAGGGACTTCAGAAAGTTTGTGGGAAATGAAATTAAAATATGCAAGCTTACCTTGGTGCAAAAAGCTTGGAAACCCATATATATATATATATATATATATATATATATATATAACTTTTTTTCTGTATAATATACATTTTCCATGAACTTTCTGAAGATGCTTTATCTACTGCCCACACACTGGACTCCATCAGTATCTTCTAGCCTGACCTCCGACTCCACCCACCCGTGCCTCTGAGATGGCCATGTCACCCACATGGTCATCCAAGTGGACCTATGCTCTGGCAGCCTCCTCCCTACCCTCCTTCCTCCTCTCACCCCAAAGCATCCTTCTCCCCCCTACAGGCCTTCACCCCACAGGTCCTTCCTCCCACCCATGCATCCTCCCCCCAATGGGTCCTTCCTCCCCCCACAGTTCCTCTCCTCACAGTTCCTTCCCCCCCCCAACAGGTCCTTCCACCCCCCCCTACAGGTCCTCCCCCCCCACAGGTCCTTCCTCCCCCGCCACCACACACACACATCCTCTCGCCCTGAGATGTCTCAAGCCCCTCCCTCTCTCCGTCCTCAGCCCGACTTCATTCTGGACTCTTCTCAGCCCTCCCCTGGCCAAGCCTGAGGCTTCAGGAGCCACCTCCCTCCCTCTGGTCGTGTTTCCTCAACTCCAATTTCCTCCAGGACCTCCTCCAGTCCTACTTCCCAGAGACCACCTCCCCGGGGCCCGAGGAGAAACCCTCCATAGGTCACGTGGCCTCTGGGCGCTGACCCCTCCCCTCTCTGGCCCCACTGCCCACTGCTGTATCCCGCTGTGACGTCATCACTCTCCTCTCTGTCCCCTTGCTCCTGAGCTTGGCTCTGCTTTAATTCCTGGGTGGACCATTGCCGGTTACACACACATGTCCACCCGTGCCGGCAGAACTCACGCGTTTGGTCACTGGGTTGGGCAGAGCACCGACTGTGCAGGCACTGCCTGAGGAGCTGCAGCCACAGTGGGGATTGGAGGGGCAGGCCCTCGCCCTGAAACTGTTCCCAGGGAAGGTGGACACTTAGCAAGTTCCCCTGGTGTGGGGAGTGTGTGTGGTGGGTGAGGGAGGGTTAGAGCGCACCTGCTGTCCCATGACAGCACAGCCTTCCGAGCAGGCGCACGTGAACTGAGCCCCTAGCAAGGTCAGCAAGGCGAGGCAGAGAGCAGCTTAGGCTGAGAACCGGCCCGTGGGGCAGGAGGAGGCAGGAGCCAGGCAGCCCTGCGGGCTGGGAAGGTCCTGTGAGAGGCAAGCTGTGCACTAGAGAGTCGGGCAGGAGATGGCTGGGGCTCGGTGAGGGTCATGCAGGGGGTGTGTGTGCTGTGTTGGCCCTGGCCTGTCCCCCTCCCCCAGGGCAGGGGATTGATGCAGGGGACTGACTCACTTGGGAGGGCTGCTCTCACGGACTCTCCCAGGTGCTGCCTGGGTCCCCCTGTCTCACTCCCAAGCAGCTTCTACAACCCAGCTCCCCCGCTCTCGCCCTCCCCCCAGTCCAACTCCTGCCCTCCAGGGCTGCCCCTGGCTCCCAGCCCTGCAGAGGCCCCCAGCCCCTCTCTCGGTGGGGGACTGACGTGTGCATGCATCCTGCCCGTGTGCTCAGCCCGTCCAGCTGACAAGGACGCGCTGACCTCCCAGGGCCGGCCCTCAGGGCCCCTCCCTCCCAGCTGCCTGGCCTTCGGTCCACTGGCCTGCCCGAGTCTCCCAGCTCCACACACGCAGGTGCCCTGAGCTGCCCAGGGCGAAGCTGTGCATCGCTCACTCCCTCCCATCCCTGCCCTGCTCCACAGAGCTGCGCTGTCCAGCCTTCTCCAGGGGCCCCGACCCACACCGCTTCACCCTCAAGCTCCCCACGGCCGCCCCGCCTTCCCCAGTCCCCACACCCTCCCGTCTTCATTAGCCTCCTACCCAACCTGGTGTCAGAGGCTTCCCCTGGCCCCAGTGCCCTGCGTATTTGTGACAGCTCCAAACAGTAGAAGCCACCTATTGCTCTTCCTTTCCAGGCGTGCCCGGGCAGGTGGCTCAGCAAGGCAGGGCGGCCACTGGGAATCCCCAGTCAGCACCTTTAGGTGCCTGACGACACGTGACCCACCCGCTCTCCATCGACTGTGAGGAACATGACAGCCTTCCCAGGGTCTTTAACATGAATGCCTCCCTCTGCCACACAGGTGTGTATGTGTGTACATGTACACACACACACACACACACACACAGCCTCCAGCAGACAACCTACCTCCCAGCAAAGAGACCCTCAGCTCCTTCTCCTGGACGCCTTGCCCTCTCCCACCCCTCCTCTCCCCCTGCTCCTCCCTGCAAGGCCATGGTGCCCCCCATGCTTTGTGGAGCACCCCCCTCCCACCACCTCTGTACCTTCCACCTCCCTCTTCTGCGGCCTTGGCTGTGGGCTTCTCATCACAGCCTGGCCCAGCCTCGCACAGTCGGCCACCAAGAACAGCACAGCCAGAGGAAGCTTCCTCCACCCCACCGTTGCCTGGCTCATCTGTCTCCGTCCTCCTTCCACTGTGGCCCAGTCCTCAAGAGCTGCACGTTCCTGGCCTCTCTGGCCTCACCCCCCACTCCTCCCTCCCTGGTCTGCTCCTGCCAGGCATCTGCGTCCATAGAAACGTGACCCAGGTGTTACCCAAGCCAACACAGCTGCCCGGGTTCTCGGGGAACTGACTGGCAGCAGCATGTGGCATGGAAGCCCGCACCTGGCTTCTGGTGTGGCTCTGCGCCTCCCCACTCCCCTGGGTTTCTCCCTCCTGTCTGCCTCTCCTTGCTCACCTCTGGGGGCTCCTCTCCTCCTGCCCAGTCCTTGTGTGTCGCCCGTCTCTGCACCCAGCCGATGCTCTCTCCTCACTTTAATCTCTCCTCTCCTGATCTCATCACACCCACGGCTCCATTACCAAGAGATTGTTATTTTTAATCTCCAGCCTGGTCCTCTCCCTGCACTCCCTATCTCTAACTGCCTACTTGCGTCTCCTCCCAACAGCACAAAGAACTCTTAGACACAATATGACCCAAATGAACCCACACTGTCCGAAGCGCCACCCCCCAGCAATAGTCACAACAGATGAGGCTTCCAACTCTTGCATCGCTAGCAGCACCATTCCCTGGTTGTCCCAGCGCAGCAGTCACGCATTCACCTCCGTCTTCAGTCCCCGGGTCAACCCATCCCCAGTCCTGTCAAGTTCACTATCTAACAGCAGCCACCCACTCTTCTCTGCTCCGACCACCAGCAGGTTCCCGTGTGCTCACTGTCTCTTGCCTGGACTACAGCACAAACCTCCTACCAGGTCCTGCAAGTCACTGTCACTGTGCCCATGGCGGCTAGTGGGGTTGTTCAGAACTCATACCTGACCATGGCACTTACCTGTTGAAGGTGTTCCGATAGCTTCCTGTTTCCCACAGTAAACCCTGGGGTCTTCCACTCAGTGTGCGAGAGTGACCTGGGCTCTGCCGGCCCCTCCGGCTGCATCACGGATCACAAAGCCCCTTGCTGTTGGCTTCTGAGTTCCACTCATTTCTAGGAGCCGCACGTGTGACTTGTTATACACTGTTCCTAGAGGATTCTTCCCACTGCCTTCACCCAACTTTCTCCCCCGTTTATTCCTATGTGTTGCTTAGTCCTTAGGTTATATCATTTCCTTATGGAGACCCTCTTCGACCAGCCAGATATGGACAACTCTTATTAATTATTTTCATAGCTCCATCAACCTCTTAGAGAAATGCTTACCATTGTCACAATTTCACATTCATTTGTGAGCCTGAACAATGAATCAGGGAGTGTGTCTGCCTTGTTCTCCCTGCACACCCTTTTGTGGTCAACTCTTGGGACTCAGCTGGGCACTTGCTGAAGAAATGACTCAGCAGAGTGAGTAGTCTACCTCTGAGGGTGATACTGATGGGAAATGAGCAAGAGGGATGCTTTTAGGGTGATGAAAAATTCTGTATCTTAAGTATGGTGACAGTTACACAAGTACACATATGCACACATGTATGTAAACTGGGAGCTGACTTATACTTTTTGCCTGAAATAAAGTAATTGATAATGGACTTGTAAACATTAATAAGCTAGAAATTCAAACCAAATATATGAAATGATTGACACACTGGAAAACATGAGACAGCTCAAACACTGGACAAGAGGCAAAGAAGAGAAACAAATGGGTTAAGCTTATGATTGGCATTTTCTGGACAGAAGAGAAAGACATCAGAGTTGGAGAAAGCTGGGGAAGCTACAAGTGTGCATCAGAGTGGAGGAGAGGGGATCTTCAGAAAAGTGTAAATGGGTCTCCATGGGGCCAAAGCTAGGAGCCAAGCTCTGCATAAGCAAAGCAAAATTAAGGATGGCTGCTAGTCAACAAAACACACGCAGCACAAAGCATGCCCCAGGACAGGCAACTCATCCACAAAAACAACCACAAAGACGTCAGCAGGACAATTCCCAGAGCTCACGAAACATGGGGAGATGTATAGATTATGATTGCCCAGAAGGGAGCAATAGGGACCAGTCAGCAAACACCCAGGAGGGCCAAAGCTTGGCACTAGGGCCAAACTAACTTTAAGGCATGCCTTGATAGGATCAAACAGATTTGCAAGTAACTTACTCACCTGTCAAAGCAAAGATCAACAAACTGTAAAGGAAGACAGGAAAATCCAGGCAACCAAATTATAACACCTGATGTCCAGCATACAAGTAAAAATCACTAGACATTGTAACAACAGGAAAATGTGACTCATGACCACGAGACCCATACATAACTGAGATTGATCAGATAAAGTCTCTAAAACATCTACTTAATATACGCTTAAGCAAGGAAAATTTTAATATAATGCAAGAAAAATCTAAGCTATAAAAATTAAGCAGGGGCTGGCACTGTGGCACAGTGGGTTAATGCCCTGGCCTGAAATGCCAGCATCCCATATGGGTGCCGGTTCGAGACCCGGCTGTTCCACTTCCCATCCAGCTCTCTGCTATGGCCTGGGAAAGCAGTGGAAGATGGCCCATTCCTTGGGCCCCTGCACCCGTGTGGGAGACCCGGAAGAAGCTCCTGGCTTCAGAATGGTGCAGCTCTGGCCATGGCGGCCATCTGGGGAGTGAACCAGTGGATGGAAGACCTCTCTCTCTCTCTGCCTCTCCTCTCTGTGTAACTCTGACCTTCAAATAAATAAATGAATCTTTAAAAAAATTAACCAAATTGAATTTTAGAGATGAAATATTAAATACCCGACCAGGTTTAAAAGCAAATTTAGTACTGGATAAGGAAAGACCAGTGACCTTAAAAACATAATAAAGAGACTGGTGCTGTGGCATAGAAGGTTAAGCCTCCAGGGCTGGCATTGTGGTACAGTGGGTTAAAGCCCCAACTTGCAGTGCTGGCATCCCATATGGATGCTGGTTCGAGTCCCAGCTGCTCCACTTCTGATTCAGCTTGCTGCTAATGTGCCTGAGAAAGTGGCGGAAGATGGCCTTGGGCCCCTGCACCCACGTGGGAGACCCAGAAGAAGTTCCTGGCTCCTAGCTTCGAATCTGTGCAGCTCCGGCCATTGCGGCCATTTGGGGAGTGAACCAGCAGATGCAAGACCTCTCTCTCTCTCTCTCTCTCTCTCTCTTTCTCTGTAACTTTCAAATAAATAAAATAAATCTTTATTAAAATGGAAAGTTAAGCCTCTGCCTGCACTGCCAACATCTCATATGGGTGATGGTTCAAGTTCCAGCTGCTCCACTTCCAATCCAGCTCTCTGCTTACGGCCTGGAACAGCAGCAAAAGATGGCCCAAGTCCTTGGACCCCTGTATCCATGTGGGAAACTCAGATGAAGCTCTTGTCTCCTGGCTTTGGCCTCATCCAGCTGGCCGATGCAACCATTTGGGTAGCAAACCAGCGGATGGAAGACATTCTCTCTCTCTCTCTCTCTCTCTCTCTCAAATAAGTAAATAAATCTTTAAACAAACATAAGAACCATGCAAGCTGAAGGCAGCAAGCTGGAAAAAACAGCACAGCCCCAGGGACCTGCTGGACAATGTCAAGTGGTCCACCATCTGTGCCGCACGAGTATTAGCCCAGAAAAGGAGAGCGGGGAACAGAACAGGCTTGGAAAAAATCAAAGGCACAGAGATTTATGACTTTCTGTGAACTGTACCTACATAAAAGCCCACTGAGTACTGTAGGATTGAGTGAGCTCAGACCGCCCTTGCCCCGCTGCTCTGGGCACTCACTCATGATTCTTCTTGGGCACCCTCCCCAGAGTCCTTGCTGTGCTGTTGGCCCCGCATGACTGGGTCTCCCCCAGCCCCTCCCTGTACAGACACCTGGAGCAAACCGCAACCATTCGCCTTCTCACTGTGTGGACGCCCTGGACTTCCTCCAGGGCAGAGACGGGGATCCCATGGATCCCATGCAGAGAGAGGAAGGAGAATGGAAGGAGACTGTGAAGTGGGGGGTGGGGAGGAGGGCTGTGGGGGGCACCCTGGGGACCCCGGGGCCAGGCCCTGTTGACTCAGCCACACCCGAACTTCGGTGAACGTTTCGCCGGTTATGAAACACACGGAGGCATCCTGCAGGAGTTTGGGTTTTCCCAAGCTTGGTTAACTGGGTTCTTATTAAAATTCAAACCTCCAGGCCCCTCTGCCGCTACCGGATCAGAATTTTTAGCAGAAGCTAAACCCTGGGAGGATGGAAAGCCGAGCACTTCCTCCCTCTCTCCTCGCCCCAGAGACAAGCCCTTGGGGTCACCTCCAGCTCTGAACTCCTCGTTCCTGGAAACCCCAACTTCTCTCTCTCCCCGATTCTCGAGCCCGACCCTCCCAGAGCAACAACAGAACGGGACGTGGCGCCCCCTGGTGGCAGGCAGAACCCTGGGCTGGCATTTGGCCCAGCAGTCTAGATGCTGGTTAGGGCACCCGTATCAGAGGGAGTCCTGGCTCAGCTTCCTGTTCTGATTCCAGCTTCCTGCCAGTGCACATCCTGGGAACCTTTGGGCGATGGCTCAAGCACTTGGGTCCCTGCCACCCACACGAGACCCAGGCTGAGTATTGGCTCCTGGCTGCAGCCCCCCTCCCCCCCACACACACACCGCCACCCAGCCCCAGCTGCTGCAGGCATCTGAGAAGTGAATCAGTAGATGGAACCATTCCTCCCCCCACTCAAAAGAAAAATAAATTAATGGAGCCTTGTCCCGAGTTGTCCTCCTCACGGAGCCTCTCCTGCTACTCCTAGACCTTTCTGGACTCTTCTGGCTGCGGGCTCTCTTGCCTTCTGCACACAGCCTATGCTTCTGCCCCATTGCTGACTTCATGGAGTGTGAGAGGCCAGAGCCACGCCATGACAGGCTTCTCACAAGACAAAGAACTGGCTGGGTCCAGGACGCTTCCGCTGTGCTGAAGCCTGACACCGGACAGTCCTTGGTCCTTGGCCCAAGGTCGTGGACAATGCTGCTGTGATGGAAGCTGACGAAGGCCGCACGGGAGCTCCAGAGGCTGTCTTCTCCGGGTTTCTGGACGTCCAGCATTGAAATGTAAAGGCTTATTTAAAAAGCAGCAGCAGAAGAAAAGACCTGCCGAGCTCGGAGATCAGGAAAACATTACTGTGACCTTGGCCCAAGACCTAGGATCAAGGGCAGTGACTTCCCGGAGTCCAGGGCCTCTCAGCCTCAGGCAGCTTCCCGCCAGGGTGGGGTCTCGTCCTGTCTTTCTGGTCTCTCATTTGCCACCTTGTAGTCGTGCTAACTTTCCTTTCAGCAAAGTCTGGGGCAGGCAACCGACTTGTCGAAACTCAATCACAAAATTGATTTTTGTGTGTGCGCTTTACTTTCTATTTGTGGCCAATTTTAATAGTTTTCCATATATAACTGAAATGCTGGGTTTTTTTAAGCATGAGCTGTTTTAACGGTAGCGCTTCATTAAAAACGCACCACGACTCACGATGGTTTCCACTTAGTTTTGCAACTTTAGGAAGGTGTGAAGGTGATCTGCTCACTGCAGAAACTCGACTTCAGACTTGGAGCTGTGACCCTCTGCATGGCTAGGGAGACGGGCACGAGAGCCTGGTGCCGCAGAGCTCGGCCGGTCCCCGGGCTGAAGGCGGGGCGCCCACACGCTGCAGCGGGCTGTGCTGCGGGGCGAGGCTGAGGCTGGGCCAGGCGGCTTTGGTGCACTCTGCTCTGTGGCATCGTCAGCTGACGGTGGGCTTGCTGGTGGAGGAGCAGCCGTTCCAAAGCGATGAGGATCCAGCCGCAGTCACCAGCTTGGCTGGAATCCCCGGAATGGAGCATTAATGGGGATCGGCTGCCCACAGAGAAGGAGGCCTTGGCTTTGAGCTGCTGCTGTGAACCTGGGCTGCCCTGGCCGGGCAGGGCCTGAACAGGCCGTAGGAGACATGGAGGCAGCGGGTCACACAACCCTGCACCCCGCGTGCCCGGCGCCCATCTGTCCTCTTCACCTTGGCTTTGACAGCTATTTAGCAAGTGGCGGCTACATCAAAGGCACATGGGCTGCCTGGCTGGCAGCAGCTGCTTGATACATGTTTCTTTGTTGAACAGACGAATGCGTGGGGAGTGACCACGTGGATAAAACTTCACAGCCAGCTTTGTCGTATCCATGAAGATCCAGGGTAGAAGGAGCTTTGGGATCACCCAGGGCAGCTCCATCGTTGGTGCCGTGGGGAACAGCGCCCGGGAGGAGAAGGCATTTGCCCAGCCACACGGCCATGTCTGGGAGAAGCAAGGACGAGGGCTGGGGTTCCTGCCTGCAACCCCCCTTGCTAACACATCTGTGCGAGGGCACGGCAGCGGCTGCAGGGCGGGCCACGTTTTGGGCTGAGTTGGGGCAGACAGGAAACCGGACTCCTGGCACTCCCTGCGTGCTGGAAGAAGCCAGAAAGCAGCGCCCCCAACCCCACCCTGAGAAGCGAGACAGAGGTTGTCTGCATCGTGTGTGCAGGGTCCGGCTTCCTGGGTGAGCCTCATCCCCTTCCTAGTCACCAAGTCCACATGAGCGTGGGCATCCCAGGGCCACGTGCAACACGGACTGTGGAGAGAGAACCACAAGATCTGCTCCTAGTGACGAGTGTCGCCTCCAACCCCGATCCTCACCGACACCCGGCACCCCAGACCCCCACCCTGCTCCGCTCAGTGCTCTCACTTCTTTCATGCACCTGCTGTTTGCTGCCCTCCTCTCTTTCCTACCTGAACCCCCACGAGGGAGGATCTCTGTCCGCTTTGTTCACTGATGAGTCTCAGGCCCCTGGGCCAGTCCCTGGCGCAGAGTGGACACCCAGCATACATTTGCTGTTGAACGGATGGAGAGGCAACTGGGTGGATGGACAAACACCAGCCAAAACTGTGCTGGGATTTGCACTGGGTCCTAGCTCCGTGGTCCTAGCTGTGGGATTTAGGGCAAGCTACCCAGCTCAGTTTCCTGATCAGGAGGTGGAGAGGTGGCACCCACCTGGAGCATTCAAGGTCAGGGGTTGGTGAGGGCACTCCCAGAGCACCAACTTTGATAGGCATCCAGCCAAGCGTGGGCTATATCAAAGGCAAAATCCATTCATTCATCCCCTTGTTTGTTTGTGAGGTCATTCGGTCCACAAACATGTGGCCTGGTAAGCTTTCAGAAGTGGGAGTTAACCTTGTGGAAGGAAGCAGTGGGAGTTGGGGTGGGAGGGTAGGGGGAACAAGGAGAGTGCCTGGGCAGGGTGGGGCAGCAAGGAGGCAGGGCGGCCCCACCTGCAGAGGCAGGCACAGCAGAGCCCTGCCGGCACAGCCATGCCCCCACTGCAAGCCACACCCCCGCAGGCAGAGCCACACCCCCATGGCACAGCCACAGCCCCGCAGGCCAAGGCAGGCATGTGTCTTTCTTCCCAGAGAGGGAAACTTTGGACCAGGGTGTCTGGACAAGGGTGAGGCAGTAGCAGCAGTCTTTGTTTTGGGCAAACACACGTTGAGCCTGCGATCCGTGACATGCATGGTCTGGGTGCAGGGGCACAAGGACGCCCCGTCTGCTATCAGATGGACACACCTAAAACTCACAGGTAGGCTTGAGTTGTTTTCCAGTGCGACAGGACACCTGTGACCCATCACGTCTCCAGTTCAAGGTCCTGTCGCCCCTGGGGCCCAGGAGGCTCCACCCCCCTCTCCAGCCTCACGACCCACCCCCTCCCGCCTTACATGGTTGCTCTGACAAAGTCAGTCTCACTTTACTTTCTAATCCGTGCCACCTCCCACCTCAGGGCCTTTGCACGTTCTATGCCTGCTGCCTGGTGAGCCTCCCTCTACTCCCATCCCAACTTTTTCTCCTTATGTGTGTTTCCTTTTTCCTTTTCAAACTGGAATTTATTTTTGTAGCAAAGAATGTAAACGTGGCTATAAGGTAGGAAGTCATATTGAAAAATACTGAAGATGTGCAGCACTCATTTTAAAAACAGAGTTAACCAGAAGGAAGGTGAAAAAGCACAGGAACGCGGGCCTAACTTCAGTCCCAGACCGACTGGGATGGATGTGCCCCGAACACCCTGGAGAGCTCCCAGCCGGGCACTTGGCATTAACAGCCACAGTGGAAAAACAGGCGGGTTCCTGGCCTTTGGAACTGGCCACAGTGTCACATCCTTGGGGCCCTACACTGGATCAGATCCTCCAGTCGAACTGTGCCAAAGCAGGGCGTGGCGGCTCCCTCGTGTGAGCCGTGGTCATCTTTCAGTGAGCACCACTGCTCCCCCGCCCAGGAGCCCAGGAAGGGCACAGGCCACAGCTGTTTGCACCGACAACCAGCGCAGGGAGTACAGCTCCCCGATTCACTGCTGAACGCAGGGTGAAGGCCCTTCGGACCCACCAGACACCCCCACGCATGGACGCGCTCTTGGCCGGCCGCCTGGATGATGCTGAGGTCTCCATGGACCATCTGGAGAGCAGCTCGTTAGAAGACAGCTGGCCCTGTCGGATGCAAGCCAGGCAGGGCAGGTGGAAGCCGCCAACAGCCGGGCGTGGGGTCCCTGTGATCTCCGGAACCCCCAGAGCTCCCCGGCCCCAGCTCGTACATGTCCTGGCTCCTTTCAGCAGGTGCAGCGGCTGAGTCACGTGCCCAGCTCACTCGGCCGCTGCTTGGCTGCTGTGGCTATACCGTGTCCCCAGGGCGAGTCGCACACTTGAGACCACCACTCACGGCGCCTGTGTCCTCTGGTGTCTGCCCCACACCTTCCCTCCGCCAGGGCCGGGGACAGTGATGGCCCTTGGCTGGGATCCCCTGCCTTCTGCCCGCATCTGTGGCCCTGGTGAGGGCCCCACTCTTGTCCCCTGCACCCACTCTCTCAAAGCAGAGCTTTCTCGGGGTTCCATATCCCAGTCCCGCACTTAGTCCAGGACTCTGGCACCCACACTCAGCCCTACCTCCTCCCCACCAGGCTGCAGGCTGCAGTGCAGGGCCCTGGGGAGCCCAGCGGGGAGGGAGCACGGGGCCCTCACTGGACAGGACTTGCTGACGGGAACCTGGAGACGAGCCCAGGCCAGGGGTCCCCCCTTCCAGCCCCTTAGCAGGGGCACTGGGCACGGCTGCCAGTGGCTCCCACGAGGCCATAAGGAAGCTGCTCCACCTGCCTGGGCCTCAGTTCCCACATCTGACACCGGCTGTCCCCACTGGCTGTCCCCACTGGCTGCCTGCAGGGTGGCTGTGACCAGAACCAGAGGGCCCAGGGGCCAGAAAGGCTACACAGCAACTCCACGCCAGCCGCGCCGGCTCAGGCTTCTGCAGGCCAAGCCAGCTGGGATGCCCTCCTCTCCCAGCACCGGAAGAAGTCACTGCAGGACCCAAAGGAACCCTCCAGGGGGCCCACCCCACCCTGGTCCCTGAAGCAACCCCAGGAGCGCCCAGGGCCCCCTGGTGGTCACAGGCAGACCCTGCAGGCCCACTTGTTCGGGGGCTGGAGCAGGGGCCTCCTTTGCTCTTGAGAGGTTCAAACCTCCTTTGTCAGCAGGTTCAAAGCCAAGCACCTGCCTTTGGCAGCAAGACAGGGGCCCCGGGGCCTCCTTCCTGTACCTGAAACAGCTGGAAGTGAGCCCCAGCTGCTACTCCAGGAGAGGCCGCGTGGCTCCCCCCAGGACCTCTCGTCCTGGGATTTGAACCTGGGTCTCTCTCCAACCCCAGGAACCCTTGCTGTGGCTCACAGCACCCCCACCCACCCAGGCTACCCCCTGTCAGCCAGCAGACTTGGGGGGCAGGAGTGCTTGTTTATTAAATCACAAAAGCCCTCAGCCTGCCCAGGGAAGAGAACTCCATCGGGGAGGGGTGGGTGGCGACAGATCCTGACCTTGGAATGACATTGGAAGGAGAGCAAGCGAGAAGCCCAGAGAGGACGATGACGTCCTTGGGTGGTTTCTGAATCGAATCTGAATGTGCCTGAGCCTCGCTCCCCAGCAGATGTGCACCCCACTCGGGCCCAAGCTGCAGCTGGGTCCACAGGCTGCAGAAACCCCTCCTTGATCACTTGCTGGGGTCGGCAACCCTTGCCAAGAAGATCATGGAAGGTGTGACCTTCTCGTAAATCATCATCAGGAAGGGATGGTTCATCCTGACGCTTAGCGGCGTCTCCATGGGCAGCGTCTCTGCTCCGGAGCCCGCGGCCCCCTCCGTGCCCTTCTCGTCCATCTGCAGCTCAGCCTTGTGCACCGCCTGCAGGAACAAGCGCGTGTCAGTGCCCGCCAAGCCGCTCGGAGGCCACGGCCCAGGCAGGGAGACAGCACGGGAGTGACCTGGCTGCTGCCAGCCACCCTGGGCTCTTGGCTCTTCCACTGTCATTGCTGAGGGTGCAGGGGCACACCAGCTCTGGGGGACATGGAGCAGGCTTGGCTCAACTTCCTGTGAATTTCGGGGAAGCTCCAACGGGGGTCCTGGCTGGGCTCTGTTGAGCTTTGCCAGATGGGAGGGAGGCAGCTGCAGCCCGGGCCCACGTCCGTCACCGCCAACAGGTGCTTAAGAGGCAGCGGGGTCCCAGGTTGCCTGTTCAAGACAACTCAGGCCCCAGAGCCACCCCAGAGGCAACACCTGTGACCAGGTGACCGGAATCCTTCCATGAAATCCAGCGATGGGAACGCAGTTCAGGGAGCTCTACCAGGGAGACTGTCAGCAGCGGCCCACAGTGGCGGCCAGCACACCCGTTACAGGGAAGCAAGGAGCCGCTGAGCTCCGCCGGCCTGCGGGGAGGGGAGCTGGCACGCACGGTGGGCAGCAAGTCTGTGCAGGAAAACTCAGCGCCCAAAGGAGCTGCTAACTGCGTTCTTCCTCTTGCAAAGGGGAAGACAAACGCTGAAGCTGCCCCGGATACGGCGCGGCTGGCTGGGCTGAGCTGGGCTGGGCTGGGCAGCCTCGCTTCATTGCACGTCCAGGTCCAGGCGGGCTTGAACCTGCCCTTCCCCCGGACCGTACCCGGGGAGCACACCGGGTCCACACCTCCAGCCCTCAGCCGTGCCGCTCCCCACACTTGAGGACGCCGCCCACACCCAGGTCTGCTTGCGAGCTGTCTCCCCTTCCCATGCCCTCGTGTGTCCAGGGCACGGCTGCTAGACAGGGCGCCCAAAGTTGGACGCAAGATAAGCAATGAGTATATTTTTGTGAAAACCTGCCCCATGCAATACTTGGGATGTACTTAGTATACTACAGAAAAAGTAGTCGCCCTAGGGGCGACAGGACCTTGAACTGGAGAAGTGATGGGTCACAGGTGTCCTGTCGCACTGGAAAACAACTCAAGCCTACCTGTGAGTTTCAGGTGTGTTATCTGAACTTGACATCGCCTGGATGTCTCTGTGTCTGGAGCCCTCCCTTCCATGGTCCTTTCTCGTCTTCCCAGTCAGACAGGTGCTCTGCCTGGCCCTAGGGCCTTTGCTTGCTCATCTCCTCATCATGTTTACAACTTACTAAGAAGCCCGTGGCCTTTGAGAGAGGCTCTGAGTCAGGCCCAGAGCGGCCCTCGGTCCAATCCATGAGCTGGGCCCTGACCAATGCTTGTCGCATTGAATCAGCTTCCGAAATAGCAGCAGGAGTTCTCCCCAGCGATCAAGACTGAGAGCAGGAGGACTGGGGTGGCTTTGTGGTTTGCTGGGGAGCACGGGGCTGGTCCGGGCCAGGGGTGGATTCGAGGCTGGCAGCTGGTGGGGAGAATCCTTGCTCGGACCGTGGCTGTGACCATGGGTCTGGCCCGGCCGTGGGGAGGCTCCCGGTGTTCGGGGTGGGGAGGGCTCACCTGGCCGACTTTCAGGCTGCGATGCGGGACGATCCTGGTGAGGTCCCCGTGCTCTTCAAAGATCTTGGTGATGCCCAGGTGTGACAGTGTCTTCTTCAGGTCGTAGGTGCCTTGGATGTGGAGCTTGGGCACGGACACGTCCACCACCCTGGCAGGTTGGAGGGGACGCGTGTGAGCAGGGGGCGCCTGCCATTTTCCGGGCCAGGCTCCAGGATCAATGATAAGCTTTGCCCTCCCAGCCCCAGAGGCCTCAGGTCTTCTCTCTCCAGCCACAGAACGGGGAGAGGCCCCTGAGCCCTGGAACCCCGGGATGCAAACACCTGTGCCCTCTGCACTCTGTCCCTGCCCCCAGCACACCTGCCTGAGTCCTCATCCACAGGAGGGGCTCCCACATGTCTGCCACCCCAGGACCCCTCGGCCGTAGTTGCCGGAGATTCCCCGGTGGCAGGCGTGGCCAAGAGCCCACCCTGCCCCAGCAGCCCTGATGCTGGAGACAGCAGGGCCCGAGGCCTGGAGCCGGGCAGAGCCACGCTCAGCTCCATCCCGGGGCTGGATGGCCTTAGCTCTCTAGGCCACTGGGTGAAAATAAGAGTGACCACCAAGCACCCACGGCACTAAAAGAGAACCAGAGTGAATGCATGGGAGGCGCTTAGCAGATGGGCAGTGAGCAGCCAGTGCCCTCCTGGCCCTGGGACTTGCAGCTTCCTGTCCTCTGGGCCCAGAGCCTGGGCCAGGCATCCCTGAGGCACCTGCTGGCCCTGGATTCTTGTCTGCCTGGACCTGGACACCATTTCTTCATTTAAAAGTATTTTTGTTTACTTGGAAAGCAAGGAGACACATAGAGAGAGACAGACAGGCAGAGAGAGCTCCCATCTGCTTGTTCTGTAACAAGCCAGGGCTGGGCCAGGCCAAAGCCAGGAGTTTGGAACTTAAGCCGTATCTCCCACGTGGGTGGCAGGGACACAAGTACTTGAGCCCTCAGCTGCTGCGTCCCAGGGTGTGCATTAGTAAGGAGCTGGACTTGAAAGTGGAGCCAGGACTCGAACCCAGTCCCTCCAACGGCAGGTGTCTTAACCACCATGCCCAGTGTCCGCTTTGGCTTCCCTTTCTTCTCACCCATCCAAGGACCTCCTTCCCGCCCCACTCACTCTCTGTCTCCCATGCTGTTTGTAATTGGCAAGTGTTTGACCATTCTTAAGAACAGACCACGTGCTGGAATTAGCTCTGTCTTCCAATCAAATCGAAAAATCTCTCTCTCGGCCCAAGTCACCCCTCAGGTTTCAGCCCGTTTCATTTCTTCCTGTTCTAGCAGAATTCTCTAGAGCTTTCTCCATTGTCTCTCATTTTCGCCACAACCCACTCCAGTCAGACCTCTGACCTCAACGTTCTAGCAAAGCACCTCTCTCCAGGGTGGCCACTAATGTCCAGGTCGCTACAGCCAATGGCCAGCAGCTTGGGGCAGTCGACCCCTTTACTTGGTGCACACCAACCCAAGTCCAGCCTTGAGGTCGCCCCTGGCCAGCCCCACCTCCTCGTCCATCTCTGGTGACCAAGCTGCCCATGGCTCAGCGCCTGGTCTCTTTCCCATGTTTGTTCCCTCGCTGCCCTCCTTCCCAGGAATCTCCTTCAGCCTTAAAGTACCATCGGAGGTCCAACTCCAAAATCTGCCTGTTCATTTATTCATTCATTCAGCGAGCATTTGCCAACAGCCTACTGACCACCAGGTGTTGTTCTAGACACTTGCCATGAATTCATGAACATAATAACCGGAGAAGGGAGAGGGGCACATCGGGGTGTGGGCTCCAGCAAACCAGCTGGAGGTTCTGTAGCCACTGTAACCACAGCACTAAAGGAGATGAAATCTTGGGCCAAGATGCGCCAACTGGGACTTCCGGGTAAAGCAGAGAGAAGGGCCCGGTGCCCTTGTCACTTTCTGACTTCTCTTCATCTGCCACACTCCTCATCCGCCCAGGGGCCACATGTCACAGCTGAGCTTAGAACCCAGTCCCCTCCTCCTGTCCCGGGCGGCAGACTCCGCCAGCCCTGGGAACAGGGAGGACAGAGGGTTCGTGCAGGGCTCAAGAGACAGCAGCCACCATGGGACATCCCGCCAGGTAGCCCCTGCCCCTCTCCCCGCCTCCACCCGGGACTCCATCAGAAGCATTCACGGGCAGAAGCTTCGGTTTCTGAGCTTGCAGCCAACCCTGGGTCTCAGAGACGTCAGGGTGTGGCCATGTGAACGCGGCATCAGCTCAGGCCTAGTGCCATTGCCAGCTCTCCTGGACTCCCCTGGGCGCCTCACAGCACAGGGCACAGAGAGGGTGAGGAGGGGTGAGAAGCCACAGAGCAGGCAGGAGGAATCCAGACACTGCCCCCGCCCAAGTGGAAACTGCTCTCTCCAGCTCACCCCAGCCCTCCCGGCCGCCGTAGCCCCTGCACCGCGCCAGGCCCTTGCAAGGCTCTGGGGTCATCTGTGCTGACCAAGTCCCCAGGGCTTACCTCCAACACCAGCCCTTAATGTTCAAAGAAAATCTATGAGCAGGCAAGTGCCTGTGAGGGATTCTGTAGGCTCGCCTGAAATCGGCTCTTACTTTATGTCTTCAGGGAAAAGCCCCTATGGCTTTGTCTTTCGCTCACAGCAGTGTCGCTTCCTTGGGACACGCCTCACTCGTTGGTTGTGGCAGCACCATGGAAAACACCACTCCAGTCACAATGAACAGCTCCCGGCTCCCTTCAACACCCCAAGCGTTTGTCCTTGCAATCTCCTTTGCCCAAGATCCCATCCTCCTCCCCCTTCTATATAGCCTGGAAGTCCTAGTTCAAACCCCACCTCCTCTGCGAAGCCCTCCCTGACACCACCTTCCCCCGAGACTCCATCCACTGTGCTCTCACTGTTTCCATGCAACCCCTCAGGAAGCAAGAGGTCACGGGCCGCCTACAGCTCGCCACCCAGTCTACGGCCCACAGCGCAAATTCCCCACGGGGCCCAGCAGAGGGCTTGGCCACGAGGGAAGCGCTCGGTGACTGTGGGAGGGGGCGGCAAAGAGAGGGGGAGGCAGAGGCAGACGCTGCCTGTGCGGGGCGCCCTCTTACCTCCGCGACATCAGCTTCTTCCACTTGGCGAAGATGTCCACGTGCAAGCCGTCCTCCAGGAGCTTCAGCTTGCCTTCGTCGGGAAGGATGAAGGTGGCTGTGATGTTCCCCTCGTAGGGCATCTCCAGGACGGTGCTGGCCAGCTGCTCGTCCCGGCCCACGTCGTACAAGCCCCCGCGCAGCATCATGGGCACCTGCACCGACCTGTTCCTGCTCACCATGAAATCTTCCTGTTTCGTCGCTTTGGGATCAAACTCATGTAGCCACCTGGCTTAGGAGTGAAGAAGGGCAGGGTGACGCGAGCGTCCAGGGGGAAAGAGGTGACCCCATCCCACTGGCCACCCAGATGCAGGGCAAGGGGTGTCAGGCAGGGACTCCGGGAGCCCCTGTTCTCATGCCATGACCTAAAGACTCCAGGTGGCGGGGACTCAGACCCATCCGTCGGTCCCTGGAGAAGCCAAGGCCAGGGCTGCTGGGCTGGGGGGAGCAGCCGAGAGCCCTAAACCCAGGTGCCTCTGGGGCCGGGAAAGCCCACAGATCATATCCTAACAGCAGAGGATGCATCGCAGCGACTGGGGGTTACCGGGACCTTGCATGAGTGGAGGTGCCTGACGTTAACGGAACAGGCCGCCCGGGGGCTTGCTGAAAAGCACCCAGACGTCCCCTTTCTGACCACAAGGATACTTTGAGCCCACTGGGTACGAGCTCAGACCTGCGTCTTCGCAAACCTGCTACCCCTAAACCGCCAACACAGAACCCTGAGTGCTTAGTCCCCAGTTTAAACCCGACTTCTCTGTTCTGAAAGAAGGACCTTGGAGAAACATTTTAATGTCCCTGGCCTCAGCACCCTTATTCGCAGGATGGGCTGCTCTGAGTCGGGACGAGGCGGCGTGGCTCGGAGCCGTGCATAGAACGTGCTGAGTGGACGCCAGTCGCCCTCAGTTCCGTGGTTTCCACTGTGGCTCCTGCTGTGGTCCAGGGAACACAGAGACTTGGGGGGATTGCAAATTACCCTCTGTGCTCTCTGCAGGGACTTAAGGCCTCAGGTTCTCATGATCACTTCTTTCCTCCATAGCACCCATGCCTGCGGATTCCGGGAGACCTGAACTCCCGTATTCAGGGCTGTGGGGCTGATGGTTCAGCAGTGAGCTACTCCTACTTACAAAGCCAGCCCATGAGAGTGAGGAATGGGCCCCTAAATCGAGGGGCTTTGTCCTGATTCTCACCTGTTTTGGCCAACTTTTGTGTACATGGGTGGTGTGTGAGTGCATCTGCAGTTGTGGGAGACGAAGTTTGAATATGGGTGTGTTATCCCCTCTTTTCCAGTCCCTGTCCCTCAGATCTGGGGGATCGACAAAATCTGATAAAGAAACCAAAGCCCCCCCCCGCCCCGCCCCAGAGTCCTCAACAAACTGCGCATTCTGTGGCCTGGTGGAGTGTGCACCTGAGGCCCAGGTGAAGAGGGGGCCCGTTCTTCTCTCATTGGCTGGCTTTGTAAGTAGGAGTAGCTCAATGAGCCTCTCTCTCCGCATTTCACTTTCCTCATTTCAGACACAGACAAGCACGCCACGGCTCCGTCCACGACCCCCGTCGTGCTAGGATCATCGGCGAGAAAGAAAGCGGGGAGAAGGATGGAGATGTGGCCAAGCTCCCAGCCTGTTCCCGGTGAGTCCCAGTAACTGCCTGCTGCATCCTGTGTCGCAGCACTGGTCTCACAGACGGACGCGTGGCGCTCCGAGAGGTTGCTACAGACGAACCTGAGGTCCCGGAGCGAGCACACGGCCAGCCTGGGATCTGCAAACCCGTTCTGTCGGTCGTCCTGCCTCCCATGCCACCATGCCGAGCCTTACCTCGAAAGAAAATGTAATTGGTGAGAAGCATCACCGTGCCAGGGTCTATGTTCCGGATGAGGTGGCTGATTCTCCCCTGCGTCTTCTCACTCACGTACTCATTGATCTTCTTCTGCGCCAGCTCCAGGTTCTGGAAGTCGGTGGGGACAGTTTCCGCGTCGTACAGGTTCTTGGTCTCCCTCAGGAACTTCTGCTGGGGCTGCAGCCTCCGGTCGATGAACAGAGAATTCCCGACTCGCAGCTTGATGTCGCGCTTCTCCTGGTTCAGCCTGCCCAGGAGGTAGTGGAAGCCCTCGTGCAGGTCTCTCTCGGGCACCTCCCTGAAGTTGAAGCCCTCCTTGATCTCCGCCAGCGTGGAGTCCTGGGCCCCCAGACACAGCATGGAGAAGGCCGTGGAGACGCTCAAGGGGGAGAAGAAGATGTTCCGGCCGGGGTTGCTGGAGGCCAGCTTTTTGAGCAGCTTGAAGCCGAAATCCATGTTGCGCCGGGCGAGCTCCTGGGCTATCCTCTTGCTCCGCCACCCCTGGGCCTGGCTCACAGATCCATAGCTCTGTCCATGGAGGCTGGGCTTCAGAAAGCCCTTCACGGAGAGGACGCCAGCCAGAAACAGGCCCAGGCCCAGGGTCAGGTTCATTGTCCTTGGAGATGATCCTGCTGAGTGGCAGACCTGAGGTTAGCGGAAAAGAAGCATCCAGGAGCACCGTTGCCCCTGCCCACTCGCTGTGGCCCCTGCCTGCTGCGTGGGAAGAAGCCGCGTCCCCACCGACAAGCGCAGGGCACGGCGGTTTCCAGGTGCCGGGGCATCCGTGACAGCAGGGACTGGGCAGGAGTGTCCTCGCTTTACCAAGGACAGGCCTGGACACAGAGGACAGCCCTTGTCCCGCACCCTCCCCTGTCTTAGGGTGATGGTGTCTCGATCCCCCCCCCTGAAGCTGCTCCCCTCCCTCCGCTGGGCCTCAGTGCCCCAGGCCAAGGAGCAAGAGTTCCCCAAACTAACTCAGGTCAATCAGCATCTTTCCCAGGCAAGGCAGAGCCTCTAACTGTGGGTGACTAGGTTAGTGATGCAGGCCTGAGGCTGATCGTGGCCCCCACTTCCACTCAAGGAAGGAGAGGAGGGGGGTGGAGAGAGAGAGAGAGAGAGACAGAGATGAACAGGGACTTCTGACGACATCTTTGGAGTCCCTGGGTCAACTTTTGCCTAATGCCTGCCGTCTTGGCTTGGATGGAACGCCCTCCAAGCTTCACGTGCTGGAGGCCTGCCTCGGGCCGCCGTGTGGCGGTGGAAGTTGGCTGTTTGTGGACAGCATCTCGCAGCAGAGACCCAGGAAGCTCTCGTGGGAGCCTGGGTTAGTTCTGGTGCGAGGGAGTTGTCCTAGAGGAAGCCTGAGCCCCGGCCGCCGTCTGCCTTCCCGTCTGCCTGCGAACACCCTCTTCCTCTCGCAGACTGCTGCCGCCGGCACTCCATCCCCAATGAGGCTGCACAGAGCCAAGCAGAGGCCAGGGTTTTGCCCTTGAACCTCCGGGACTGCGAGCTAAATACTCCGCTTTCCTTTCTAAAGTTATGCTGTTTTGCTATAGCAACGAGAAATGGACTAACCCACCACTCCATCTCCCAAGTCTTAAGAGCTAACAAATTTCCCTTTTGGTGTTGGCTGCTTTGAGTTCGTTCTTTCTTTCTTTCTTTCTTTCTTTCTTTTTTTTTTTTTAATTTCCTTGTGGCCAAAAGATTCTGATGGATTTGCCAAAATCAAGCCCTTTTCTAAGATCGTCAGTCTCTAAGTGGCACATGCCCGCTGGCCGAGAATCCTTCCCCAGAGCCCTGCCAGGGAGGGAGCAGGATGATGTCAAAAGCCAAGTCTGACTCCAGGGTGCTGCTCCCACCACGCTCTCGGCTGGGACACCTCCCATCAGCACCGTGAGCCCTGGGCAGACCAAGTACTCTCTTCCCTGGAGCCCCGCCCTTAGCGCCACAGAGAGTGGACAGGTGTGTGGTCTGCTAAAGAGCCAGAATGCTGTCTCTCACTGGGCTTGACGATGCCAGGGACTTTTAGACCAATTTATAGGCAGAATCGGGCAGGTTTCTCTGTCTGATTGCATCGCTCATTGTGTTTTTTCTCCCTGTAACTGGCACCTTTCCACGTCTGGAGTCCACGGAACACAGTGAGCCCTTCAACAGTGAAGGCTGCTCCCACTGCTTTAGATGAGGTTGCCCAGGGCCATGGCCTGAGTCTGGATTCGGGTGTGTGGAGGGTGTGGCCTTAGAAGCAGCCCATGGCCAGTGCCACAGCTCACTAGGCTAATCCTCCACCTGCAGTGCCGGCACACGGGGTTCTAGTCCCGGTCGGGGTGCCGGATTCTGTCCCGGTTGCCCCTCTTCCAGGCCAGCTCTCTGCTGTGGCCCAGGAGTGCAGTGGAGGATGGCCCAAGTGCTTGGGCCCTGCACCCCAGGGAAGACCAGGAGAAGCACCTGGCTCCTGGCTCTGGATCGGCGCAGTGCGCCGGCCGCAGCAGCCATTGGAGGGTGAACCAACTGTAAAGGAAGACCACGGAGCAGGCCCCTCCTGGCGGACTGAATGAACAGGTGAATCACCTTGCGCTGGCCTGGACCTCGCAGTGCCCGCCCCCCCCGTCCCCAAATTCTGTGCCTCCACCCTTGGAAGCAAGGCACAGTAGATGCAGCTTTGTCACGGCTGACACAGGACTTCAAGGAGTTCATGGGACTGTGGCCACCGCCCCGTGTGCTCCAAGCACCCACTCTCCTTTCCCCTCCTTTCTGCCCACAGTGGTCAGCCCCGCCCTCTGGCAGCCCATGTGCCCTAGGAACAGGGAGGGCCCCATGCGCAGCTCAGGGAGGTGCTGACTTACGGACAGCGATCTCAGCTCCCTGTTGGTGACTGAGTCCAGAGACAGAACCAACCCAATCGGGGCAAGCCCTAGGACTCAAGTGACCTGATGGGGTGAATTTCAGGGCTGCCGGTTGGAATGCTGGGAGTCCTGGGCGAGGAAGTGTGGCAGCCACGGACTAAGGTGCCACCAGGGAAGTCACTAAGACGAAGCCATAGCAGGAGGTGGGGCAAACAGGGCTTTGTAGAGACACAGGAGCCAGGGCTGCCGCGAAAGCTGAACCCAGAGCCCGCCCTACTTCTAGACTTTTCCATGGTCAGCACCCCGAAGCCAAAAGCATTTTCACAGATGCCAGAATCCCCCCGCCAAGGCCAGGACTACAAGTGACCAGGAGTCTGGTGCTGTCACCTCCCCTTCATGGCCACACGTCACTCCGGAAAGGACTTGCCCCAGCTGAACCAAGGTGTTCTCTAAGCAGCCCGCACGCTGCTTGGAGATAAAAATTAAAAACCACTGGTGATGCAAAAGGAAGTCTGGGTGAGAATAGGTTATACGAGAGAGATTCACGCAGGATGCTTCAAATACACACACAAAACCAGACAATGGACAGCCCGCACTCTCCGGGCTCCATGGGCTGGAGGTTTACAAACATTGCCTGGATTAAAAGCGGTGGAGGAGTTGAGATGCGTCACTCAAGGAGCTGATAGCGCGCTCTCAGCGGTGGGTTTGCCAGCCAGCCGGGGTGCACGGCTGTTAGGTAAGCTGACGTAGGCTGTGCCCAGCAGGCAGCAGGGCGGGGCAGAGCCAGAGAGGGAAGGGAACTGCCGGAAGCATTTTCTGAACTGTACCGCTGCTAGCTGTTCACCGCAGTCACCCCTCCCCCACCCCATCCCCGTGCCAACACCGGCCCCATCCTGGGCCTCTCTACCTGTCGGCACAGGCCCTAAATTGACCCAAATTTGTCAGATGGGTTAGATACCTGAGCAGGCTACTTTTTTTTATTCCATCAATTAAAATAGCTGAGTGACTGGTTATTTCCCAATCAGTTGCCAGCTTGCTCTCCGGCGTTGGGCAATTCTGTGCTGGTTTCTGTAGGTCGCAATGTGTGTATCTGGTAGTCACGCAGAATAAAAGCAATTCATTAAATGAAAATAAAATCAAGAAGAAAGAGAGCAAGACAGAAACTGAGCCCTGTGGGGAACCCATGGGCTGACAAGGCTACGACCCCGGCACTTCCGTTTGGCCCTGACAGCACTGGTCCCTACTCGTTTGAGAAAACAGTTTCCTCCTCTTCCTTCCTCCTGAAGACAGACCTCAGCCAGGGAGAAGCCCTCTGGACAAGGAGCACCGGTGACCTCAAGTCACTGTGGAGCTGGTCCCAGGGGGGCGGGGTCCCCTGGCGGCCTCTCTCCCTGCCGCCCCGCAGGCTCTGTTCTGAAACCCTGAGTCACTGGAACCCCTTCCCAGAGTGCCCAGGAGAGGAGACAGCAGATCCAATGACCAGGCCATCCTGAATCCACGGGGTTGCCCGCAGGACCACGGAGATGCCCAGACAGCAGGTGCGCAGGTCCCTTCCGTGAAGTGGGGAAGTGCCTGCGTGGAGCCGGCACACCTTATGTAGACTCCCCCTCCTCCCGGTGACTTACAGAACCTGACAGCATCTCCGTGCTGTGGACGGAGTGATTACACTGCGCTGTTTAGGGAATAACCTGTACGTGTTCAGTTACAGATACAATTATTTTCCCCCAGATAAAGTCGTGCTCCCTTTGGTCAAAGCCACAGACTGAGAACCCCCAGGTACAAGTATTCTCAGTGACAATACTCACTATTCTAGAAAGTGCTTCCCACCTGCAGCCAGCAGTTGGGGGAAGCATAACGCAAAGCGGTGGAACACACAGGGTGCCACGGAGCTGGGCGTGATGTCCGGCGCCTTCCACTGTGCACCTCAGAGGCCCGGTGCATGGCCGTCCTGACGGTTCCCTCTCCACCCCCACCGCTGTGACACAGCTGACCCACCAGGGAAGGTGCTGTGACCCCTCCTCAGACCCAGGGGACCAAAACATTAGATGCCCCACGGACGCTCTGGTTCACCCTGTGGGTCTCTCCCTTCTGGCTTTTAAGGACTCCTTGGAGTCCTTGCTGGGCGCCAGGCTGGGCACTTGCACCCTGGGCTGGGAACGGCCACGACTCTGGAGCAGAGCCCGGAGCTCGCACTCCTGGGAGGCCACGCTCACCGCTGCCCCTGGATGTGTCCAGCCCTCAAGAATCCCCAGCTCCTCGCCTGGCCCGATGCCATTCTCTCCAATGGCTTCCACTTGCGCCACTAAGGGGGACGCCAAGACCCAGAGGGGCTCAAGCAGGAGGCAAGGGCACGAGTGCTTCAGTGACAGCCCAGAGTGGGGCCCCAATGGCGACTGTGCAACACGCAGGGACCAGGGGATCCGGCCTCACCTCTCCGTGCTGCCGCGAGTGGGTGGGCACAGCCCTGGTCATGGGAAGGGGAAGATACACAAACAGCCCGCGGGCCAGGCTGACTCCGGCCAGAGCTGAGTCGGTGGTGGGGCGGGGGCTGTCTTATCTCCTGAGACCACCCCATCCCCACCCCACCCCCAGTTTCTCCTCTAGGAAAAAAACAGAAATTAGTCCTGGAAGGGAATGCGAGTCTCCCCAAAGATGCCCAGAGAACCCCAGGGGCCCCCCAGAATCAGAAACTCCTCCAGAATCTTTGCTACACCCACCTCGGCACCGGGTCCTGCCTCGAGCAGAAGCTGGTACTCACAGCGCATGCGGGAGAAGTTGCCAGCCGGCCCACTGGGTCTGCCCGTCTCGCTTTATGCGCTAGGCCGCCATGGTGTCGTGGAGGCGCGGAGCAAAGGCCAACAGGAGCAGCCGGCCTGCGGGGGCCAGCGGCCGAGGTTCCAAGGAGCTGGCTGCGCTGCCTCCCTGGGGGAGATATGTGCTGGCCGCGCCCACTGGGCGGGGGCTTCCCTAATGAAGTCCACTCAGATCTGTTGCAACTGCTGTTTCCCAACTGCTGCCTGGGTCTGAGGGGCTGGAACCCTCTGCTAGGGACCAGCCCGGAGCCCGACCTTGCCCAAGCACCGCGCCGCCGCCTCTGGGGAGGGGTGGGGCTGCGCACTGCAGTTCCTGGGGGTCCTTCCTTTTTACCCCACCTCCTCCTTTTCTGCTTCACATGCGCCCCAAATGTCAGCTCTACCCCTTAGCTCCAGTGAGTCCTGGGGAAGAGGGGCAGAGGACGGACTGCAGTTTCTGGTTGGCCTCAGAGGAGCCGGCCGCGCGCTTCGGCGTTTGTGAGCACTTAGCAAAGTCACTGTCTCCCGCAGAGTTGTCCTGCTGCAGGGTAGGCGGCTTGCTCTTCATTTTTGTTTTTTTTTCCTCCTTATGTTTCTGTATTTTTTTTCCAGACTGTCTTTCAGGAGCAGGTGTTTAGAATTCATCTTCAATTTAATTTTTAAAGATTGAATTGATTTAGAATTAATTTTTAAAAATTGAGCGTCACATGCGACTGTCATCTTCGGTCTCAGCACACAGAAGGAGGCTGGTGATGTCTGAGATCTCCCGACGCCTTGGACAGCCTGGCGTGGAGGAGCGCCAAGCCCCTGGGCCTGCCTTGTTCCTACTCAGTCCCATGAACGCCAGTGGGCAGAAAGTCGCTGGAATATTCCTTGCCCGGAAAGTGGTGCTTCCTAATGGCTACTGTGCAACCACAGCACCACGCGGGCCCCGGGACACACACGCGTGGGCTTTTCCTTCCGTGGGGCTGCTGCTCTCGTGCTCTGCACAGCAGGTGACCCAGGGGCTTCTGGGAAAGGCACCCCTGGCTCACTCCCCAAAGCTGCTTCAGCCACCAACTGGTAGAGTCACGGCCCAGACCATGGAGGCCATGGAGACATAAGGCTTTGAAGTTGCTGCAATCAGAGAGCTGCTGACCGGCGTCCACCCGCAGCCCGGGGAGCAAGGCCTGTCTGCACGCTGTGTGGCAGCAGACACGAGCCAAGAGGCCTGGCCGCCCAGCTCTGTTCACCAAGGGGCTGCAGGCAGGAAGGACGGACGGGCAGGGGTCTGATGGGGGCCGAGGCTGCAGAGGTGGAGCGTGAGAGCCAGCAAGGCGGACCTGACCCAGAATCTGCGTCCTGGGTTTGAACGGAAAAATCCGGCCCACTAATGACAGGGTGAGGCCCGTGAGTCTGAGGCCCACACCTGCCTGCTGCCCTAGACGCGTTTTGCTCCAGGACAGACTGCCATGGGGGAGACAGGCAGGGAGAGGCCGCGGTGAAAGATGAAGGCAGGAGCCTGTACATGCATCCAAGAGGCTGCAGCCTGGGGCCAGTGCTGTGGCACAGCAGGCCAAGCCACTGCCTGCAACGCCGCATCCCATACGCGTGCCTGTTTGTGCAGCCCTCTTGGCTGCTACAACACTGAACTTAGGAAATCGTGGGCGTGGACTTCATGGCCCAGTGAGTTAAGCCGCTGTATACGATGCTTACATCCCATTTGGGAGTGCTTCTTTGAGCCCTTGCTCTTCTGCTTTTGATCCCTGCTACTGCATCTGGGGAAGCCTCAGAGGATGGCCCAAGTGCCTGGGCTCCTGCACCCATATGGGAGATCTGGATGGAGCTCCTGGCTCCTGTATTTGGCCTGGCCCAGCCCTGGCTGTTGCAGACATGAGGGGAGTGAACCAGTGGATGGAAGATCTCTCTCTCTGTCTCTCTGCCTTTCAACTAAAAAAAATTGGATGTATTTATTTTTCTTTTTTTTAAATTTTTTGACAGGCAGAGTGGACAGTGAGAGAGAGAGAGAGACAGAGAGAAAGGTCTTCCTTTTGCCATTGGTTCACCTTCCAATGGCCGCTGCCGCCGGCGCGCTGCGGCTGGCGCACCGCGCTGATCCGATGGCAGGAGCCAGGTACTTATCCTGGTCTCCCATGGGGTGCAGGGCCCAAGGACTTGAGCCATCCTCCACTGCACTCCCTGGCCACAGCAGAGAGCTGGACTGGAAGAGGGGCAACTAGGACAGAATCCGGCGCCCCGACCGGGACTAGAACCCAGAGTGCCAGCGCCGCAAGGTGGAAGATTAGCCTAGTGAGCCGCGGCGCCGGCCTGGATGTATTTATTTTTAAAAAGATTTGCTTATTTATTTTAAAGTCAGAGTTACACAGGGAGAGGAGAGGCAGAGAGAGAGAGAGAGGTGTCTTCCATCCGCTGGTTCACTCCCCATGGGCTGCAATGGCCAGAGCTGCACGGAACTGAAGGTAGGAGCCAGGAGCCTCTTCTGGGTCTCCCATGCAGGACTTGGGGGCCATCTTCTGCTGCTTTCCCAAGACACAGCATGGAGCTGGATCGGAAGTGGAGCAGCCGGGACTCGAACAGGCACCTATATGGGATGCTAACACTTCAGGCAGCGGCCTCATCTGCCATGCCACAGCACCGGCCCCTGGATAAGTCTTAAACAGATACTTTACAAAAAAAGGTATTCAGATGACAGCATCTAAAAAGGTGCTCAGCATCATCAGTCATCAGTAATATGCAAAGCAAACCTCCATCAGTCCCCACTGCGCCCCCACCTGGACGGCTACAGTGAACGAGATGACAGCAGCAGGTGCGGGGCAGGTGCAACTCTTACACTGGGCGGGGCAGGGGGTGGGGGGAGGGAGGGGCAACCTGGCACAAAGCTCTGGAAACTTGCTTGGCAGGAGCCGTGAAAGAGATTTTTGCTTACCCCATGACCCACCAGTCAGGCCTCAGGGTCTGTCCCCTGCAGAGGCGAGTGTGTGGATCCACAAGGACATGTGGGGAAGTGTTCCAGGTGGCTTTAGACACCAGCCCAGAGCAGAACCAAACCAAATGTCCACGGACAGTACCATGGAGAGAGCGAGCGAGCGAGCGAGTGATTCCAGTGCCGTCCCAGGTTTAATCTCCATGTTTCCTGGTGACTTCTCCCTTGTGTTGTTTGCAAAATTCACAACTGATGCTCACCACAGGCAGCCACAAGGACCAGTGATCCTGAGTGTGAGAGGCTGCAGAGCCCAGCTCACATCAGAACGCATCCGACCTTGTCTCGGAGCAGCGAGGCGGAGGCTGACTTAACCACCCAGCCCGGCTGCGGCATCCGTCTCACAGTACCCAGGGTTGAGTCGTAGCTACTCCACCTCCAGTGCAGCTTCCTGCTAATGCAAAAGGCAGCAGATGGTGGTTCAAATATATGAGTCCCTGCCACCCACATGGAAGACCTGGACGGAGTTCCTGGCTCCTGGCTCCTGGCTCCTGGCTCCTGGCTCCTGGCTCTTGGCGTTGACTTTGCCCAGCCCTGGTCATTGCAGGAAATTTGGGGGGTGAGGGGTGAACCAGCAAATGGAAGATCTCTCACTGTCTCTCTGCTTTTCAAATAAAATGAAAATTAATTAATTAAAACTAAAAAACTGAGTTAGTGAAAAACTGTAACTATTCACTGAGTCCAAGCTTCAATTGGGGAACCTATTAGGTAATTATAAATCAACAGATTATTTAAATAAACAATTAAGGAGAAAATTAACACTTTAGAGTAATCTTGAGGGGCTGGCACTAGGTTGATTCTCTGCCTGTGGCACCGGAATCCCATTTGGGCACCGGGTTCTGGCACCGGGTTCTAGTTCCAGCTGCCCCTCTTCTAGTCCAGCTCTCTGCTGTGGCCCAGGAGTGCAGTGGAGGATGGCCCAAGTGCTTGGGCCCTGCACCCCATGGGAGACCAGGAGAAGCACCTGGCTCCTGCCTTCAGATCAGCGTAGCTCCGTCCATTGTGGCCATTTGGGGAGTGAACCAATGGAGGGAAGACCTTTTTCTCAGTCTCTCTCACTGTCTGTAACTCTACCTGTCAAATAAATAAATAAAAAAAATAAAGTAATCTGGAGCAAGATCCTGGGTTACCCTGAAGAGATTTTAGTATAAAATGCTGAAAGCTTCCCATGTAAAGAACCTAAGAAAATAAGTAAGGTTAGGTTGGGAATGACATAGAAGCCCCGGGAACGACACAGAAGCCAGACCCCATGAAAGGAAGCACAGATGTGCCGGTCCCATGGGGTATCACACCTCGACAGCATGCACAGACAGGACAATGACCACATGGACCATGAGTGCAGGACAGAGAGGGGGCGACCTCACACGTCAGGACGTGCACCTGTGCATCGAAACCTGCAAGTGTGTGTGTGTGTGTGTGTGTGCGCGCGTGCACGTGCGGTGGGGGCTTTGACTTCCTGCCTCTCATTCTCTTTGTCTTATTTTCTTCTGCATCCGTATTCCTGCAGACCAGGGCACTTTGACATGCTATTATATATCCTAGAGCTAATATATATTCTTTTTCACAGAAACTTTACAAGTTGGGTAAGACTAGATCCATTTTTAAAAGATTTTTTAAAATAAGATTTATTCATGGGGCCAGCACCGTGGCATAGCAGGTAAAGTCACCACCTACAGTGCCGGCATCCCAGATGGGCACAATCCCAGCTGCTCCACTTCTGATCCAGCTCTCTGCTATGGCCTGGAAAAGCAGCAGAAGATGGGCCCCTACACCCACGTGAGAGACCTGGAAGAAGCTCCAGGCTCCTGGCTTCAAATCTGCCCAGCTCCAGCCATTGCAGCCAACTGGGAGAGTGAATCAGCGGATGGAAAATCTCTCTCTCTCTCTCTCTCTCTCTCTCTCGGCCTCTGTAACTCCACCTCTCAAAAAGCAAATCTTTAAAAAATAAGATTTATTCATTTATTTATTTATTTGAAAAGCAAAGTGACAGGGAGAGAGAGTGGGGGACAGATAGATATAGAGAGATCTTCCATTCACTGGTTCCCTCCCGAGATGGCCCCAGTGGCCAGGGCTGGGCCAGTCTGAAGCCTGGAACTCCATCCTGGTTTCCCATGTAGGCGGCAGGGACCCATGCACTTGGGCATCCTCTACTGCTTT